GGGATTTAGCTCAGTGGTGCTGCTGCCTACCTCGCAAACGCAAGGTCTCGAGTTTGATCCCTGGTACCAAAAAGAAAGAAAGAAAACAAAGCCATGTGCATTTCAAGTGCAGAGGAAACAGACAGAGGTGTCTCTGCCACCTGTCTATGACAGCAGTGCTAGATAACAGATGGCCATGTAGTTCTAAAGTGCTTGTTTCCAGCTCAGGTGTCTGACTGCCTAAGTAGCCCTAACAGTTCCAGTGGACCCTGGCTGGATTGGTTCCTGGGCACAGGCTATCTTGAGGTCTGTCCTGTCTCATCTCTTCTGAAACCATGGGCTACCCTGGGGCAGTTCTGCTTAAGGTGACAGCAGAAGCACACAAGGAGAGGCTGTGCTGCAACGCCTTGCGCAGGTCTTGTCTCCAAACACCTCAATGGCCAGAACAAGTCATGAGCAGAGCCCAGAGCAAAGGCACCAGGATGGAGGTGTTGGATTTGGCACAGCCTGCAGGTACCTCCCCTTGGTTTGGGACACTGAACAGATGGGGACAGCAAGAGCAGCTGACAGAAAAATCACTTTTAAAAAGACCAAGAAGAATTCCTGTGTGGTGGTGTATGTCTGTGATCCCAGTAACCTAGAAGGCTGAGGTAGGAGGATCAGAAGTTCAAGCCCAGCCTGGGCAACTTCACAGGACCTTGTCTCAAAATAAAAATTTTAAAAAGGCTCGAGCTGGGCGTGGTGGCACATGCCTGTAATTCCAGCACTCAGGAGGCTGAGGCAGGAGGATCACTGTGAGTTCAAGACTGGCTTGGGCTACATAGTGAGTTCCAGGTCAGTCTTAATTATATAATGAGCCCTATCTAAAAAAACCAAAACAAACAAACAAATAAACAAACGGGCTGGAGATGTGCGAAGATTGTGGGATAATCACCATCTGGGGGTTGGGAGGGTGGCCACTGGTCTACTCTTCCCATAGTACGAGTGGAGGCAGTAACTATGAGCCTCAAAGGAATCCAAACCTACAGCAGGCTTCATAGAGGTGTCATTTGATGTAGGCCTGAGAAGTGGGATTTTTCCCAGTGAGGATAGGAAGGGCCGCGAGCACTGCTGTCACAAAGATGCAGCGTGAACACTCATTTTCTTTGTTTCCAAATTCTAAATATCTACTCACCAAATATGAGGCCAAGAGCTAGATTTTTCGCATGTAATTGTACTGCGAGGTGTCAGTCCCACAGGGCACAGAGTCCGCTTCACGGCCCAGCTGCTCACTGCACTTCGGGCTGCCCTGCGCTGCACACCCCTGGCACGAGCAGCTCAGCCTTGCTGGAAGATTCCACGGTGATGAGCCGAGGCACTGAGGAGGAATGAAGGAACTCTGGGATGGGAAAGCAGGCGAGCAAATCCACACACAGAACCGAAGCTAAACAATGGTGGGAACGAGGGTTACGGGACAGGATGTAAGTAGTGTAAATGCGGACAATGTAAAAATGCAAACTCACAAAATTTAGGAGGGAAGGAAATGGGAAGTGGCAGTGAGCTCATTTCCTCATCCCAAATGGGGTGTCAAGAGATGCCACCTGTAGCCGAGGCCGAAAGCACAAATCCAGCCACTTACTATTTTTCTTTCTTTCAGAGAAATAATTCAGACACATAAGTGACAGTGTAATTATTTGTGGCTTGGCAAGTTCTTTAGTGACGTACATTTTTGTTTCCTTTCATTCTTTTGTTTAAATCCCTTTTCTAAAGAGCAGGTATTGTATGAGCTCATTTTTCGACCATTTCCAAGCAGCTGCCTGAGCTGTGCTCTTCTATGTACACCGATGTTCTCTGGGTGCCTCCCGGATTTTTCTGTGGGGTTCTGGGTTTCTGGATCACTTGAAAATTTTGTCTTTGGAACTGTGTAGTGTCACATTTCTTATAATGAGCATGTACTTTTTTTTATAAAAGAAAAGTCCTTTTTAAAAAGTTAAAATATATTTCTGGAGAAGAGAAAAAAGATGCTCCTTTGCCAGGCTCCCACCTCACTTGGGCGGCCCATCTAGGTAGCAGCTGGGCCCCTGGGCCTGCTCCCGGACTGGCTCTACGGCCCAGGGTGAGGGCACAGCTTAGCTCACAACTGGCCTGGGTTGGAGGCAACAGTGAGCCCCCCCAAATGCCTCTGGATGCATTTCTGAACCTTGTGGGGTTGGGCGGTGGAAAGTGGAGAAGCTGCAGGTCAGTAGCCCTTGGAGCCTTAGGCCTCCGGGTCCAGTGGTGGACCTCCAGGCCTATTTCCTCACCTGCAGGCCTGAGAAGTCATCCTTGCTGGGCCTTGCTTTTGGGTTGCTATGACGGACATGCAACATGCAGTGTTTTGATAGCCCATGGGGGTCAAAGGATTTAATTCTCACCACCACCACTGCCACCCAAGCCACTGCGCAGGAGGGTCAGGCAGCTGGCTGGCTGTTTCTGGGCCCCGAGAGCCACTCTTACAGCCTCAGCTCCATCTAGTGCTCACACTGGGACACAGCCCCAGTAAACCTTGATTTCCATACTTGCATCAAGGATTGCACTCAGTAAGCAAACAGAACCAAAATAAAATTCATTCAAAGCATTTCTCCCTGTACTAAGACTTGGCATTTCAAAGCACAACAGAAATTCAGAATTTCCAAGGATTGGTGGACACTGTCTTAGAAAGTATGACAGATCCATGTGGCAGATAATAGTTAAAATAATGACATTTTTCAAGTATGTGCTGGGTATAATCACATTCATCTCACCCTCCCAACACCTCCTAGCACATGAGCGTGCTTATTGTCCCATTCTAGAGAGGAGGACATTGAGGCACAGAGATTGAAACTGGTCCCTGTTAATTCCTCGGGGAGGGCCAAAGAGGAGGGAGTCGAGTAAGAGTCTCCACAGGGCCAGAATATGGGTCAGAGGGGTCATCCAGGACTTGCTCTGGACTTAAGGAGTGAGGGTAGAGTGTGGAGGATGCTCTCTCTCTAGCAACCCTGACTCCGAGAGAGAGAACAGGCCAGAGCCTGGGATATAGGAGCCAAGGGTCCAGCACAGTCCAGGGCAGATATGTGAGGTGACGGCAGGCGGATGGAGTGGGGCTGAGCATGAGCTGACATGCAGGAGGGATGAGGCCAAGAGGGTGACCAGCCTGGGGAACTACATGAGAAACCGGAGAGGGTACGCCAGGAGACGTGTACCCTGAGTGGTAGAACAAGAGGCTTTGTGAGAAAGGGGATGGACAGAGGGCTCCCGTGTCAGGGCAGGGCCGAGCAGGGCAGGGAATGAAATCACACAGGGCCTGGAAAGTTCAGAATGAAGCTGGACAGAAGGGTGTACTGACAGATGGGTGGGCAGGAAGGGAGGAGGATGGAGCAAACACAAGTTCTCTCCTAGGAAAGGAGAAGCCAGGGTTGAGAGAAGGTTGCCTGGGCTTGTTTTGGGGGAGGGAGAATGAGGTGCAATAATGGGAGGGCTAAGCAGAAGGCTTGAGGAAGATTCGATCACAGGGACACCTGAAAAGTGAGAGAAACAGAGTCAGGCAAGTTACAGGGGAGAGGAGGGAGCAGGTGAGGCATGAGAGCTGCATGATGGCTTGGAATTGCTGAGCCAGAGAGGAGACATCAGCAGCCCAGAGTAGACTGAGGGGGGAGGGGAGGGGGAGTGGCCAGCAGGGCAGGAGGTGACTAGGTGAGTGGGCAGGGAGGGGTTGCAGGGCTTTTCCCGCCTGTTGGGGAAGCTAAGGTGTGAGGGCATGACGCAGGACCATCATGCTGGGACAGAATTCACAGTTGGGCCAAATAGGGTGTACGTGGACCAGAGTAGAAGCCAGAGCTCCAGACATCAGGGTAAGAGGTGGGCTTTCCAGGGATGCTCTGACAAGCCCTGGTATGATGCCAGATCCCTGCTGGAAGGGTCTGTAGGGTGCTGGCTGGGGGAGGCAGCACAGTAAGAGCCTCTAGGGTGCCCTCTGTCCTTGGCACCTGTCACAAAGGATCTGTGTGTATCATGTGTGTGGTAAACAGAGAAGCCAGTAAGAGATGCTCCCCACCTATTCTTTGCCCACGGGGGCCAAAGAAGGACACTGACTGTAGACACATTTTACTGTGCTGCTTTTAATTATGAAAGATGTAAAATGATGCATTATAAAACTTGGAAGCTACTTTATACAAAATCCAATCTTTAAATATTGTTTAACAAGGGTCCCTGGGAGTTAGGACATTGGCAGGAAGTCTGATTTGTTGCTGTGATGGTCCCAATCACAAAGCAGTGGAGACCTGCTGGCTTGGAACCATTTGCACACAAATCAGAAGAGTCGTGGAGAGTCAGGACGGAAGTTCTTCTGACACACACATGGACTTGGATACACAACGTCTCCACTCAGGTAACACACACCAGACTTAGAAATGAAACAGGGCAAAGGAGAAGTGATGGCGATCCTGATGTTATCAGGACAGGCTTCCCCTAACACCCTGTGTCTTCAAAACCACAATAGAGAAAAATGAAATGGAAACACAGAGAGGCATTTAGTTTGATGCTATTTAACTGCTAATAAATGAGAGTAACAAAACTGATTTCTTGTGGCAAAATGAAATATTTAAAAATAGCCTTTTCTGAAGTCTGGAGCCACTTACAATGCTGAGGACCATGGCTGGTTAGTTCCAAAAGCAGAAGTGAGCACAGGCTTAAGCCCAAAGCAGGGTGACATTGTCCCTGGTGTGTCGTCAAATCCAGCCAGCAAGGTGGGCTGTATAATGCCCAAAACCTTTACAAGAAAACAACAGATGGAGAGGCCCAGAAGCCAATTCAGTTCAGTGCTAAGCCACATTGTCCTCCTCACCACCAGGACACCTACCCTTCCGGTCCCCTGCAGAACACTCCAGGACAGTGCAGCTCCTCCTGTGGGTCTTGGGTTGGGAGTGGGGGTTGGGGGGAGGCAGGGTTGCTGTGCTAAGCAGACTGGGATGTGACACAATAGTCCCCAAGGGTAAGTAAGGCACTATGCAAAGAGTGGATTATGCTGGGACTTGCTTTCCAAAAAAAAAAAAAAAAAATTCTCACAACACTGGCACCTGACCAGCAACATTCCATTTCAGGGGCCACTGACACGGGAGGTGGCTGCTGTTGGCACACCGGGGTGCTGGGTAGCATCCCAACTGAAAGGCCCTTTTACTGTAACAGAGTTGCCCCACTCTGGGATCTCAAGCATGGAGGTGTCTAGCGCAGCTGAAAGTAAGACTTTCAAGAAAGGCCAACAGCTCCTGCCTGGGCGGAAATCAGGCAAGGAGGACTCTAGTAGGACCTCCTAACTCAACAGCAGAAACTCGGGCAAACAGGCAGATAGGAGTTCTTGGGTCCTGAGGAAGGTATAGTAATGCACCATGGATTTTCTGGAAAGGTCAGAGGTCAGCCCTCTCAAGACAGCAGAGAACAGGCAAGGGCTGGCGAGATCACAGCTGGGACAGGAACAGACTCCCTTTCCATGGCCCAGGGGTTGGCTCCTCACACAGCCTTGGGTACAAAGGCTCTAGCATGCACTCCCCATCCTTCTGGCCTCCCTACCCTGCATCCTCCTCAGTGCCTGGCTCCTCTCGGCAGGGCTGCTGGGCACCATGGGCTCTGCTCCCAAACTCAGTTCACAGAGGCAGGCATTGCTGGAAATCTGCTCATACTACTGTATGATAAGGCATTAATGAGTAATGATAGTTCTGTGAATTAGGCCTTCGTTTACTATAAACTTACTGTTCCAACCTCACAGGACAAATCTCTATTTAAAGCAATTTAGAGCAAAGCATGAATGTGAGAGGGAGCCGAGATGGAGGTCTCATGAGGATCCTGCAGGTGCCAGCCCTTGAGAGGCCTGGGTTTACTCAGCCACTCTGGATCCACTCAGGAGACAATTCCTGCCTACTGCCATGGAGCAGAACCCCAAGGAGAAGGTGCTCATCTCCTGTGGACCTAGCCATCTAGTGTTAGAAGCATATTAAAGTGAATGGTGACTTGAGTACAGGCACCAGCATTAGGAAAGCTAAGCTCAAAAGATCACCTCGCAGCCGGGCAGACTCATTCACACACATGTACACTCAGCATGCAGTTATGTAGCATGGTTTCCATGCCAGGCACTTGTTAGGTGCTAGGGGCTTGGTGAGGAATAAGGCACAGTCTCTGCTCTCTGGGAGCTTGTGGTCAGGCAGGGCTATAAGAAACTCCCACTTCACAAAGCAGGAGCTCAGTGCTGGGGATGCCCCCGGCTGGCCCGCAGGGAGGCTTGTGCTTGTCTGGTATTTGTCCCCTGTGTCTTTGGGCTACCTGTGGTGCCCCTTCGTTTGTTCCCCAGCTTCTGAGAAGGAGCACAGTTCTTCTCAGGCTTAACCTTTGTCAGGGGACTTTTTCAGTGACTGAATAAAATAGTCTTCCTTTTCCTCCTGTCCTTAAGGAAAAGGTATAAAGCAGCAGAAAAGAGATTACAGACTGGTAGAAAACAAACCATAGAGTTCAGTTTGCCTGACTGAAGCCCATCCTTGGCTTGGTTAAACTTCTTCATATGGTAAGTAAGGCATCTGACAGAGCCCGGCTTGCTGGCATGGCTCTGAGCTGAGCCCTGGAATGTCCACCAGCTGGAAGGTACCTTGCCTTCATGGCCGGATCAGAGAAGGCAGTGTGGTGCTCCAGTACCGTTACATGATACTGAGACAGCTCTGAGGCCCATGGCCCCAGCAACCTCCCACACCAGGCTGTCCTCAGTGCAGACTGAGATCAGTGGTTCTCAGCACAACACACAGCTACCTCAGCCTCCTGTTATGTGAGATTCTCTACTTTTACACACAGACTGACTAAATGGCCAGTAAAGAGATGGAAGCCTCAGGGAACAAGCTTTCCAGTTCCCCAGAAGCTCCAGAGCAGCGACACAATGTATGCGCAGGCCCAAGAAGCAGGACACAGCTCTGTGTCTAGAGAAGCCATGGCGTCTGAGATGGGACCACATGAAAGCCTGGAGCTGAGGAATGGGTGCCTTCTTATGGAGATAACTAAAGTCCTAGGAGGTCACTGGCTCCACTCTATTCCACTCTAGTTTGGCTGGAAACTTCAGAAATCTTCCTTCTGTGGCCTCCTGTTCACAATCGGTCAGCTCGAAATGTCTCTTCCACAGAGGGATCGAGCAGACCCATGCTGGAGTCACTTAGCATGTTGAGTCCGTCTAGGCTCAGGGGTTCAATCTGGAGCTCCTCTTCAAGTGGAAACGCAGTGTCCATGTTCAGGCTGACCTCAGGCATGCCTGCCAGTGTGTTGCTGAGGTCTTTGAACAGGTTGGTGCTCGAATCTTCTGAAAGGAGCAGCAAGAATGGAGAACAGGGCTGATTAAGAGGTGTGAGGTCCTGAGGCTACTACAAGAGTTCCAAACAGCAATCCCCAGAACACTATGTTGTCCTCTTCCCAGTCAGAATGGTGGCCCTGTGTCCCCACTATACTCAGGCCTGTAGTTCTTGACCTGGAGTCCACATTCTGGACCCTCAGTTCTACAACTGCCAGTGTTTGCAGGCTTTCTCCTTTGCAATGGTTGTCAATCACCTGGGACTAAACACTGCAGAAGCATTCTGACCTCCAGGCCCTTGCCCTACCACCTCATGGTCTCCGGGGCCAATCACTTGCATCATAGGAAGTAAAGCTGAGCCAGGGGACTTTCCCTTTTGGCTTTATTATAATGTGATGTGGTTCAAATTGTTTTATAAGGATGAGTGTAACAACACATCAGTGTAATTGGTGGAGAAGCTAAGGGCAATCCGCACTTACCAGTCATGATGGCATTTGGGAAGTTCCCACAGTTGGAATATGGGTTTGGTCTCAAGTGAAATGAGTCCTGTGCTTCTCGGTGACCTTGCTGTGCCAGGGGTACCTGGAAGCATCAAAGGTCACACTGTAAGGAAAAGCCTCTGCTTCTGAAGAGAGGGGGACTCCCTTCTTTCTAGAGCTCCATTGTACTCTGCTATCACAACAATGCAGGCAAGATAGTCCTGTCAGGCCACAGACTCCACCTTCAAAGTTTATACCATGGGTAGCTTTTCCCAGTCCATACTACCCAGCTGCTACAGGATCCCAAAAGACCCTAGTGTCATGGTCTGCAGCCCTGAGTCTCCAGCACCCTGTCTCCTCAGCCTTACCAAGGCTGGTGCCAACTACCATCTGTGAGAACCCTTCAAAGGCTCCATCTGTGGTCAAGGGCTCGATGACCTCTTTTCCTCTCTGGTTTCTGGAAAAATGAACATGCAGAAGCTTTTCTTTGTCACATCAGGGGAAGGGACCTCGGGCCAGTGCCTCTCTAGGATAAAGCCTCTGTGAGGATGGGATAGAACTAAGATTTTTTTTTTTTTGTACCAGGGATTGAACTCAGGTCTTTGTGCTTATGAGGCAGGTGGTGGCACCAATGAGCTAAATCCCTGGCCCTAAGGTCTATTTTAGATACGTTTCCTGAAATTAATTCTGCAACAAAAATGTTTAAAGAAAATGTCTTAAAAGAAAGAGTTACAGGGATATGATGATTCTCACCTAGACTGAAATAGGCTCTTCAGAAAACAGGGAGGCAGAGCTGGGATGTGGCTCACTGGCAGAGTGCTTGCTTGGCATACACAAGACCTGGGTTCCATCCCCAGTGCCACAAAAAACCAAACCAAACCAAAACAAAACACAAAAATACTAGGGAGGCAAGGACTACTGGTTCTCACCCGAAGCCTTCATCATGGTAAACAGGAAATACAGCGGTCCCTCGGTTCATGAACACTTTTGTTTGTGAACAATGAAGGTTCACAAACAGAAGCACTTGGCAAAATTCTTTGTTTGCAAATACTGCATCAGGTGATGAACATGATTGTGGCCATCTTTCCTACACAAACAAACCTGGCCGGCCATCTTTTCCAGAATTGTGGAAGGAACTAGGTTCGTGAACTAAGGTGCCACTGTAGTTATCTTTATTTGTTTTACTATTATTAAGCTCTGGAAACTGTCCAACCCTGCCTTCACTCTTCATCCTGGAGCCTAATACACACTTACTAAACACTACACAATCTAGGGATACTACAAACAGTGATAGAGAGAAGCAAAAAAAAAGTGACTGAATGAAAATATCTTCGCTGGGGATGCAGGTCAGGGGCACCACATCTGCCTGTAAAGCATAAGGTCCTGAGTTCAATCCTGGGTACCCCCCAAAAAAGAAATCTTCCAGAAGGAATGGTCCCCTATCCACTCCTGGACTGAGCCATCCTAGGGGCCTCACACTGAGCTGGTTGCACCAATCCCCACTTTCTAACTCCATTGCCAGAGCCAGGCACTGCCCCCTCTGTGCCTCAGTTTCCTCAACAGAAGGAGCCACTATGGTCCTTTCAGAACTGGGGACTCTACAACTCTATCACTAGTCATCAGTTTCCCAATACTGGTTCAAGCAGCAACTCTCTGAGGCCTGACATGTGATACAACAGCCAGGGCCAGCAGTTTAGGTTAAGAGGTAGGCTAGGGCACCAAGGAAGGGCGGGCAGAGGCAATCACCTACCTGTGGGGGAAAGGCTGGGCCTGGCCTCACAGACTGCTGGTCAAAGCCCAAGTCTGGGAAGAAGTTGGTCAAAGATGTGCCCTACAAAGAAGAAGAGGGAGGGGACCATTTAACTTGGAACCCAGAGTGAAGTCTGCATGCTTTCCTTACTGATTGACATTCCGCAGGGACTCACCTGGGATGGGAGAAGCTGGAAGTCTGACTGGGGCAGGGACGAGGCAGCCTGGGGCTGTGGAGCAGGGTGCTCCTGGGAGCGGAGCTGCGGCAGGAGGGGCTGCGGGAGCTCCTGGGATGTGGGGTAGGGGGGTGGTGGGGATACTTGGGCTTGTGCTTCAGAGGTCAGGAAGGACAGTGGGCTTTGCTCTGAGGATACCATCTGTAAAAGAAAACCACCAATGAATTTTGAGGGCTTGCAGTAAGCCCTCTGGGTCAGGAAATGCCATGGTATGAGAAAAGCCTAAGTCTGCTCCTCAAAGTGGGTCTCAGATCTTATTTACCCACAAAACATTTCCCATTCAGTAACATTTTTATTGTCTTTAAAAACCAAAAGGGAATATGCCAATTTTACCAATTTCCTCTATTTTCTCAGTGAAGATTATGTTTTGTTTTTAAAGCCATGATTTCTAGTTAGATAGAAGGTTGAAAAAGGCTCTTAGCTGCACTATCTCCCCAAACCTTACTGAAAAAACACACTAAAGCAACCTTAAGCAATAAACATTAATATACAACATTAAAATAATAAGTAACACTAAATGACAGACAACACAAGAACAAAGTTAGCGGGAGGGAAGAAAATGGCAACAAGATTTGGAAAACAGCTAAGCTGGCAATCTGAGTGCCATTGCTGCATCCCTGAAGGTCTCTGGTGTTGGGGAGTGCAGGCAGGGGGGGTGACACAAAACCAGGAGGGCCCATATGGCAGCTGGCCCTGCAGAGTCCTCACTTTGCTTATGCTGCTGTGTCCCCACTCTGCCCTCCTAGCCACCTTTCAGGAGTCTGCAGAGTTGGCCAACAGAGAATAAAAGGTCAGGGTCTGTGGACCCACAGGGTGAGGTTTTCTACTGAAAAATACAGGGTTTACAAGAATTCTCACTATCAGATCTTGAAAGCTCTACCTTCGTTCCTAGTTCAGCTACAATGCTAGAATCCAGATATATATCCAGGTTTAGACACCTGTGTTCTCAGGGATATGAGCCAGCCTGAAGTTCCCCAGGGAGCTCAGCAAGGTGGCTTACACCTGTAATCCCAGCAGTCTCTGAGGCTGAGGCAGGAGGATTTTGAGTCTGAGCCTGCCCTGGTCAATTTAGTGACTTAGAGTCTGTCTCAAAACAAAAAAAAAAGAACAGGGATGTAGCTATGTGTGAAGGCCCTAGGTTCAATCCCTAGAACTACACACAAACACACACACACACACACACACACACACACACACACACACACAAGGGCCAGGAAGATTTAGCTCAGTGGTTCCGCTGCCTACCTTGCAAGCACAAGGTCCCAAGTTTGATCAGTACCAAAAAAATCAAAGTAACAAAAAAAAAAAAACGTAAGGCATCTTACTAACTCCTAGGAGGAAAGAAAATGTTCACTTTGTTAATTCATAACATACTATATGATTCAACTCTTGACTATATTTTAATCACAGAAACACTAAGCACTGAGTATTGTTCTAACCCAAATTATAATACAAGAGGGTAAGTAGGAAGTGTGTGTGTGTGTGTGTGTGTGTGTGTGTGTGTGTGTGTGTATGGTGGGGGGGGTAGGAGAGATAAAAGAAAACTAAGTCCTGATCTTCAATGGTAGGATATCATTGGATAATGCCCAACACCAAAAATCTAGAGCAAAATAAGTACAGATTAACATGGTTATGCCAAGAGTCAGCCAGAAAGATTGAAAGCAGCAATCTCTAGGCCTGCAAAATATGGTTCACTGAAGAGAGGAAGACAGCTCTTATACAAGTCCCTTAGATCAAACTCAGGACCTTGAGATTATGAGGCAGGTAGCAGAACCACTGAGCTAAATCCCCAGCCCTTTCCCTTTTAACTATATGCATAATAACATTATTTTTAAAAATCTGAATATTAAATAAAAAAATGAAAACATCTGCAAGAGGGCAGTGTCTACACATACAGTCTCCTTAAAATGTAGCTAGAAAGCAAGAAAACTTTAGTATCTTAAAAAATAGTCTTGCAAAATAAAACTAAAGGCAATTCAACAACATAGAAAGAAACTTTAAAAAACAATTACAAAATTCCCCCCCCAAAAGAAATGACTCATACAGTCAAGATCCCACAGCCAAATTGGAAAAGAGTGACTAACAAAGGAGACCTTTTAAATCCCTCCTTCTTCTAAATCATTACTCATTTACAGTGAAGTGGTGAGTAGTTCCTAATGGTCCCTAATGGTCTAATGCATCTAGCGTATGGCCAACAGGGTAAAAATATATTCATTGATGATATGGTAAGGGGAACCTCTCTAAGAGTCTAGAATAAAAACAAAGTTAACTAGTCAAAATGTTTCATTTGAACTTCTATATTTCTTTCTCTTTCTTTCTTTCTTTTGGGTGGTACTGAGAATTGAATTCAAGGCCTTTGCACTCAGCTTCTTCCCCAGACCTTTTTAGTCTTTCAAGACAGGGTCTTGCTAAGCTATTTAGGTTAAGCTTGAACTCATAATTCTGACCCAGTGTCCAGAGTGCTAGGATTATAGCAGTATGCTACCAATGCCTAGCTTCAAATCTTGGTTTTTGTTTTTTTTTTTGAGACAGGATTTTGTTATATAGGTCAGGCTGGCCTTAAACTCACAATGTAGCTGAGGCTGGCTTTTAACTTGCTGTGATTCCCCTGCCTCAGCCTTCCAAGGGCTGGGATTACAGGCGTGCCACCATACCCAGCTTCCTGTATTCCTATAATGGACTTAGGACTTTAAAATGTGTCTCTTTCTGAGCAGACTTCATTTACTCCTTTTATTGAGCTATAGTCCTCATTATTCTTAGTATTTTATGAACAATAAAAGTATTGTTCCTCAAATATGTAGTGGTAATTAGGGAAGAGGTCTAATCCACTATCAAAGCTTCAGGAAGATACTAAATGTTTTCTTTGGCTTTCCCCTGTGGCTTAATGTAGTTAGAGAGTTAATAATTGATTTTCCATACCAACTTAGAAATCCTAACCTGGTTTCCCTTAGCTATCTTAGACATATCTGGATTGAATCCCTACATTCCACCCCAAGTTCACAGGCTGGTGACTGCAAACTGTTCAGTATTTGCTTAAGAGTAATCCACATCACAAATCTGCTATTAGACAATCCATAATGCATTCTGAATTATTCACACTTCTGTTCTCTCTTAGTGTAATAATGGACCTAATCCAAAGCAGCCCAGAGAAGGGAAGCAACCCCCAGATGCTGTGGCGTGTGTGTCTGTGTTTACCTGGGAGGCAGGATACGGGTTCAGTGGGCTGGTGGAAGAGAAATGTCTGCTGAAGCCTTGATGTGCTTCTGGGCTGGGAGAGAGTGTGAGAGGGCTGACAGGAGGCTGCCGGCGCCGCGAGGGGCCACTCAGGTTTGTGGTGGGAAGAGACGGGTTGCTAAGGGAAAACAGACGCAGCGAAGGGTGCAGAGCAGACACACTGGCGACAGATGTCTGTGGGTGGCTATTTAGGGAAGAGGAAAGCGCTATCTTATTGAGCGTCGCTTGGATGGAGGGGTTACTCCGAGATCCCTGCAGACCTGGAAGACAATACATTCACAAGTTACTTGTCAGTTTCATACCAATCTTCTGCTATCCAAAAGTGAAAGAAAACACCCTACTATTCACATGTGATAGTGATGCTGTATGTAACGGAGCTCTTGGGGCAATCTCCTAACTGGATATGTCCCTGATAAACCAGTGTGAGAAGATGCACTCACACCAAGGATCTAGCAGGAAGCAAGATGAGTATTACTGTTTCCAAAGAATAGGGTGTAGAAACAACCACTGGGGTAGTGATGCTGGGTAGGCAAGCAGTGGGTAGCAGAGACAAATGTTCTGTGTGCCCAGGTTCACTCACTGAAGGGAGCCCAGGGCCAGAGCCCCTAAATGTCTTTGTCCCAGACACAATGTCTGGGTTCTCTGCTGCCTTGGAGGACATCCTTTCATTGAGAACTGTGGCTTCAGGAAGCCCTTAAATACCCTTTGCACACCAAGGAGTCACAGGAAGAGGCACTTCCTCCTATCTCCCACCCAGGTTCCCTCTGTTTGGTTTCTGGGCTCCTGGGAACTGTTCATCACAGTCTATTCCAACTGGGAGACAAGAAAGTTTTTGATGATCTCTTGTTTCTTTGGGGGCCAGGAGGGAGTTAATCTTGGCTGAGCAATAAAGTTTGGAAAAGGGTCCCTGTCCTGTTCCCTGCTGTGCCCTACTGGCACAAGGCCTGGACTATGGCAGCTTCACCCCATGAAGGAAAAATGCTGCTGATGCTGCATATATATCAACTGGCAACAGCCATGTTTTAATGTTCAACTCATAATTTTTGCACCAGCAGCTGGAGCGAGCAAAATTGTTAGTAGTTTTGTATTTGTTTTTCAAAAATGAAGTACTTGATAAAAGTTATTTTTTAAAAAAATGAAGAAATTATAAAATCAAGCAGTTTAGCTGGCACTTTTTTTTTACCCCCCACCCCAACCCTCCCCCTGGGACAGGGTCTTACTATGTAGCCCAGGCTGGCCTTGAACTCACGGCAATCTTCCTGTCTCAGCCTCCCAAGTGCTGGGATTACAGGCATGTGCTACCACACCTGGCAGGCTGGCAATTTTTTTTAAGGTAGGAAGATGGTTACGATGAAATCCTAGCAGTTATCCTACCATCTAAAAATTCATGAAAAAGATCAGACATGTGATTAGCTCAAATAATAATTAGAGCTAGAGATCTGAATTTAGATGTGATTTTTAAATTCAGAAAGAAAGTTTAAATATCTTTTTAAAAAATATAGATACCATTCAGTTTGTTTGTTTGGTACTGGGGATCAAACTCAGGTCCTTAACTTGCAAGGCAGGCGGCGGAACCACTGAGCTAAATCCCCAGCCCTAGATATCATTCATTTTAGGAATGCATAAACTATAAAAATGTGATGTTAGTTCTGCTACCTTCTGGACAAAATGATGCTTTTTTGAGGAAGAGAACAGCCAATGATTAAACAGGAGATTTTCAGCTGGAAGCAAAGTATCAAAGCCCATAACAGAAAATACCATCTTCTTCAAGATCCTTCTAGAACTGTGGCTTGTACAGTTTCCATGACCCTTAGTATTCTCATTTACTAAGAGTTCATCCAAAAGGGTGATCATCCAGGCTCTGGATCCAGAAACCCCGAAGGCTTCAAGAGTTTCTGTTAGGAAACAAGCCAAGTAAACCCAGAGCTGAGAGACTGTGCCTTCCCTCAGAGAGCATCCTGGGTCCCCCAAAATACATTCTCTGAAATGCTCTGGACCAATACAGCACTAGTACATTTGCATAAACACGTCTTCCTTTCTAAAAGTCAAAACCCAGATTCAGTGCATGAAAAAACTTGCTTATTACTAAAGACAATAAAATGAAGGGAAAAACCCAAAATGCAAATAAAAGTGATCTCTGAAATCAGTTTTGCAAACCTAAAATTTATGTTGGACAGTGGCAGTGTCACTGCCTTCATAGAACCTCCCAATGACACTGTTCCATGTGGTAGGCAAGTTCTGATCTATGTGGACAAGTCTTGTCGAGCCCAGGGTGGAGACAAGAAGACACACCCTAACCTAATGACCATCCCTGGGACACCTTCCCAGCACACATCCCAGCAGTACCATTAGGGCCAGGGCCAGGAGTGTACTGCTGGGAGTGCAGGGACCATTACTACCTGACAGGACAAGAGCATCTGGTGGTTTCAGGCCAACCATGAGGTGTGAGCTGTGGACAATCTGTACAGAGACACCCACACAGCACTGTGCTATAACTAAGGCTCCATCTTTAAGCACTTGAATAATTCTGAACAGTAGCAGATTTCTACTTAATACAAATGTATTAAGTATAAACATTTTCATCACATGCATTAGAAATTTTCCAAAATTCAAAATCCCCTCTTTGGAAATCCACCATGGGAAACTGGAGGGATGTAGGGAGATACCACAATACACTGATAAGAGTTACGAATATTGTTCAGCCAGTATAAAATGCTCTTTTTTTTGTACTGGAGATTGAACTCAGGGCCGGTATACTCAGCTACATCTTCTGTCCTTTCTTATTTTTATTTTGACACACGTTCCCACTAAGTTGCCCAGGATGGGCCTGAATTTTTGATCCTCCTGCCTCAGCCTCCCAGAGTGCTGGGATTAGAGGTGTATGCCACCATGTCTGGCCTACACTTATTTCTTGACTCCTAAATCTTCCCTAAATCCTGGAGATGCATGGGCTTGTGTCCTGGAGTTTATCAAATGGAACAGAAGGTACCAGAGTCTCTCTAATTAAGATACAGGCACTCTCATTTCAATGATGCACTGAACAGTCCACAGAGCTGAGGTCACCAGTGATGAAGCAAGCAGGGAAGGCCCTTCCTAAGTGGAGACACTTACCAGAGGAACTTCTTAACCCTAGGTGAGTCATGGCAGCAGGGAGGTTGCCCACACTGTTTCCCACACTCATGCTGCCCAGGAGGTGGCCACTGGGGTCCAGAGAGGCTGGCACAGGCGCCGAGCAATGGAGGTTGGTCAGATCTGGTAACGATCCTCCTGTGTTCAGGGTCCCCAGAAAGGGTGAGAGGCCTATGTTTTGCCCATTATGGGGGAGCGCACTGGAAAACAGAAAGATGAACCTACTTTTCACAATGCACTTGGTTTTTGGGAAAAGAGCAGTACCTTTTCTTTATCAAATTAGAGCAGTGGATATCAAAATTTAGAGTCCTAATATAGGCTCTGCTCTCCCTTCTTCTGAGAACCTAGTTGGTTGGTTGAATATCTCTGAAATACAATTTCTGAACTGCTAAACTGAACTGATCATGTTACCTATGGCTGCTTTACAGGAATATTTTCAAGACCAGATTAGATTACTGATGCAAAAGTATCTGTTAAATGTGTGGCATTGCTTCTTATTTATACAGTTCTTTTTGCGGATTTCTGAATTATTTTCCCATCAAAAAGATAAAAAAAGTCATCTCTGGGCAACTAGATTCCTTCCAAATAGACTGTTTTAAATACAGTTTTCATAAACTTGAAAATGAAAGAAACACATTGTCATGCATTTATCAAAACCTGTTGGGCAGTCACCATGTGCCAGGCCTGAGGCTACTGCTAAAGATGTGGCAAGGAGAAGCACAGAGCAGGTACCATATTCACACATTCTCCACCAGGCCTGCCCTTAGGACTTGAAGATAGAGGCCCGGGACCATCTATTTCATTTTTAGAGTTACAAATCAAAACAAGAAACCCATAAATGAACTTTGTTCTCTGTGTGTGTTTTGACAGATCACAATTTCCTAACAGATTGGCAGACTAGGTTCAAACATGGACTTCCTAGATGTCTGGGGCTCCTGTGTGAGAACATACAGGAGGGTAGCCCAGCCCACCATCCACAAACCCTCTCTTTGCGCCATGCCTGCTCTGCTCTGCAGGGCACACATGGAGCTTTTCTGAGCTAGATGGCCAAGCTCTGCCTACACCTGGCTACTCACAGGTCTAGGGAATATGCATCGAGGGTCCCCCTGGCCCTTTGGAGCCAGTCCCTCTACAGGGCAGGGCCCCAAAGCCTTAATCACAGCTCACAGACAGGCAGCAGAGGCAGAAAGGATGAGCCAGCAATGGCAATGTGGCAGGTCTGATGAGGAGCAGGTACAAACAGGAGGTAAAGTGACACTGGGAGCACGAAAACAGCATCATTGTCAGGATGGATAGGGAGATAAGTCTTTGTCAAGGACATGCTGAGGATGTGAGGTGTCAGAGACCAGGGCAGAGTGTAGGGAAGGAGAGGCAGGCAGGTGAAGAACCACAAGGGAAGATAACAGGCCATCATGAAGAGTCTGGGGCACGGACTGTAGCAAAGAGGGGGCCCAAGAAGAGGAAAAGGAGGTCACTTGAGAAATGATACTATGTGGCGGGTGCTTATAGGAGCAGAAACAGAGGAGGAAGCACTGATCAGCAGGCTCTTGCAGTGGCCCAGGAAAGGTCCAGGAAGAGAGAGTGGTATCTCGAAGAGGAGGAGGATGGGACAGGGAGGGCGAATCCATGGAAGACCTTTGGTCGGAACATCATGCATGAGGACATCCCCAACTGCAACTAGGCCTTTCTGAAAATCAGAAGCAACAGGAGACGGAGCCACAAAGAATACAACTTACACTGCCATATGACTTAGGCTGGGTATATGGATGTGGAGGGGTGAGCAGCTGACCAGAGGAGATTTCCTGAGGACAGCTGAGCTCAGAGTGAGGGCTGCAGACTTCAGGTAATCAGGCTGAGAATTGCATGAGGCAGTGTTTACAGCCTGAGCCAAACAGGGAGTTGGAAGTCACCCGGTTTGCCTAGGGAAGCAGGGAGCACCTGCAGCTGAGACAGGAAGGTTCAGGGACAGGAAGGCGGGGGAAGGTGGGAAGTAGGGAAGATGAACCCAGTCTTACTTAGGGGAGGGTGGCTCCCAGATGTAGGGGAAAGGAGGAGAGCCTGAAGGCAGAGAGATAAGCTGTGACAATGCTGTCAATGAGATGCCAGGAGAGCACAGGGACAGGAGGCAGGATGGACTCTAGAGAATCTACAGAGGGCTCCAGAATGATGCTGGGGGCATAGAGGACCAGAAGCGAGGCAGGGGATGGGGAAAAACTCAAACTCAATTTCAGACACTTGGGGTTTTTCCACACAGAATGATAAACAGTATGGATATTGCTGACTCAGCTAAGTCCTAGAGTAAGGGATGGACATTTCAAGGGAACAGCAGAGGTAGATATTGGGCAGCACTCAGGAGTATTCTTTCAAAAGAGGGCTGAGGGCCGGGATTTGGTTCAGTGGTTCTGCCGCCTGCCTTGCAAGCACAAGGTCCCAAGTTCAATCCCCAGTAACCCCCCAAATCAATCAATCACGCAATCAATCTGCAATGATAGGCAATTAAAAAATTTCTTTAAAAAGAAGGCTGACAATTCTAGACCCCAGAGGGAAGGCTAAGCACTGGAGAGAGGCCTCAGCAAGGCCAGCAGGGAAGCAGATGATAGAGAGGATGGCCCTTTCTGTTCCCAAGAGGGAGGAGAGGGTAGCAAGAGGACACCCAGTGGCAGAGAAGGCTGAATGTGCCTCCTCACAGCCTCTGTTCCTGGGGTAAAAGGAAAGAGGGCTGAGCTAACTGCAGAGGTGGTGAGAAACAGGGTAACAAGAGAGGGGTGGGAAGGAGGGTAGTTTTGGTTGTAGAAAAACTGGATATAAATGTGGTCTTTCAGATAGCTGGGTCATGGAACTGGGTTATGGAAAGTTCAAGCACTTGAAAAATGAAATTGAGACCCCAGAGCTGCTCACTGACAGCAGAGGGTGTCCTGAGAGAAGATGGACCTCAGGCCATTGAGGTAGAAATGAAGGCTATGGGAGGGAGGAAGAAGGCAACAAATGGTGTATCCAGCGGCAGAGTGAGGACAGAAATATGATGTGGCCAATGTGAGCTAGATTATTAGTAAGAAGCAAAACAACTTCTCTGTAGTTGAAGAAAATACAACATTCACTCTGCAAACATTGTTAGCATCTACTGGATCTGAAAAAGGCAGGGAATGTTCGTTATTCCTGTTCTAAACCCTTGGATGATCTCACCTTCTCTGAGCACCCTCTGAGCTATTTCTCCAGACTGCTCTGCCAGCTGGTCTTTTACACTTGCCCTTCCCTCCACCTGAAACCCTCTTCCCCTCGCTTCATCCGTGATTCTGGTCAGAGGCCATCCTGTCAGAAATGCTTCCTCAACATCCATTGTCTGTCCGCTTTCTCTCCTTTTTGTTCACATATGACACACACTTCATTGCTTGGCTCGTCCTTGCCAATCTGGCTCCCCTGGAACATGAGCTCCTTGCAAGCAGGGACTCAATATGTCTTGTTCACTGTTCTACCCAGCACCTAGAATTAAGGGGCTAATAAATATTTGCAGGAATAAGAGTCATCGAATGCCATGCCAGCTCTAACGGAAGAACAAGAAAGCAATTATCTTTATCTAAAAAATACTGGCTTTCAAATTCTCCAGGGTTAATATATTGCAGCCCAGGTCTCAGTAGCAGTGGGCCCTTGGGGCCCAGAGCATTTGTGAGGACTCAGCCAAACCTGCTTCTTGGAAACCCTGGCCCATCTGTGGGAAGTGCCTGGACCCATGGTTGAGCTACTCTCCCTGTCCTGCGTGTGCCCAGCAGGCTCTCCTACTTTTGATGAGGTCAACTCTCTTCTCAACTCAGTATGCTGGTAATTACCTGAGTTTATGTTTAACCAGCCAAAAAGAATGTCTGTGTGGCAGGTACTCAGTAGGGAGTGCCCTGAACACACTGATGAGAAAAACTCGTAAGGAGCATGGCCTGAATCCACCTAGCTCACCCGCAGACCATCTACAATGGGTGCTCAGGCCAAGCCAGGTCACACAAGGGTACCATTTTCAAATGTTTCACACGGGGAAGACTTAACTCTTCTCTGAGCTGGCATAGGCTCTCTGAGTAAGTTACCCAGGAAGTCCCCAGGGTCCTCTGTGAAGACTGCGGCAGGGGGCTCTTCTATCTGGCTGTGATGGCAGAGGCAGCTGAGCAGCTATGTGCTGTGTCATCACTGAGGTGCACAGTGGCCTCCTCTGTGTCTGACACTTCCTCTTTCACTCCTTATTCTTTCCCCTCTCAACTTTCTCACCAACTTCATTTTTCATTTTTTTACAAATATTATACATATTTCTATAAGCTATCACAAAAGCTTTTAGGGAATAAGGTTATATACTATGAAATCCATTAAATAATTAGTGGTGTCACAGAAACTTTTTTTTAATATTGCAAATCTCCCTATTAATCTTCCATTAAAAATACAGTAAAATATATGCAGTGTGATTGAAATATATGGAAAATATAAATTTTAAAACATTTATTACAGTAAAAGACACATCATCATTAATCCCCATCAAGCTACTCTTCCTCACTGTGAGCACTCTCATCCCATCGCTCTTGCCACTTTCTGAAACAGCTCTGGAAGTCCTCTTTCCTTCATGTCCTTACGAGGTGTGACTGAAAATATACTGCCAAGAGCCATCCAACAGAAAGGCAGGCTTGTAAAAACAGTCACTGACTTTATTCACTAGATCTGACACATGCCACCTCTGGCCCTTCCTCAAAGTCAAAGTGGCCATGAAAAGTAAACATTTTTCAATCGATTCAGGACACTGAGGCAACCATAACAGTGCACTAAAGACAGCCAAGAAGGGGACCTCCAGAGCTGCTTCGGAAAGTGGCAAGAACGATGGGATCAGTGTGTTCGAAGCAAAGGGAAGTATTTTGAGGAGGACTAACAGAAATGTCTTTTATTATCATAAAAACTTTCAAATATATTTTCAATCACATCTCATGCATACTGTAAAATCTACTATCTCAACTATTTTTATGCACACAATTCAGTGACATGAAACACATTCTCAGAAACTCTCTCAACTTCTACATAACCAACTGCTGGGTTAATGGACGCTGTCCTCCTCTGTCCAACCTGTCAGCTGAGGACCACTGCACACTTCTGCTCTACCAGGTGAGTTTTGCATTTGTCCAGAGTCAGTGGTGTTATTCTCAAACATATTTATGGTGGGTTTTCTTTCACTATTGCAGTTATGTAACTGAATTACTTTAAATACATGAAATTTGAGTACCAAAAGCCAGCAGCTGTTTTTAGAGAGGGTCACACAGAGAAGGTCACGGTTCTCAGAGCTCAGGGACAAAGCAGTAAATTCTACTCTCAGGGAAACCTGCAGTAGAAAGAGCATTACTTACTTGCTACCTGTGACATCACAGGATCGAGGGCGCCCTGACAGGGACTGGATCTGGGAAGAAACAAAGAAAGAGAGGTTTACTCACTGATGGCCAAATTCAGATTTTGAGAAGAGTCTTCACAGGAATCACGAAGCCTCCATGGGCGACAGCGAGGTCAGCTCACAGCTGCAGTGTTCTCACAGAGCAGTCATGTAGGTTCTGAGGAGACCTGGAAAACTCTTAACCTTCCCAGCATAAGGGAAGTATAACCATAGATTATTTTAATCGATGCTTTATTGCTTTTTCTTCTAGATGAGTATTATTTCCTTCAAAACAGGCCAGTGTTTTTAAGTATGGAGTTTTTTGTTTGTTTTTTGGTTTTTGTGAGACTGGGTCTCACTATGTAGTTGAGATTGACCTGGAACTCACTATGTATCCCAGGCTGGTCTTGAACTCACAGTGATCCTCCTGCCTCAGCCTCCCGAGTGCTGCGATTACAGGTGTGCACCACCCTGCTGACCTTTTGTTTTGTTTTGTTTTTTAATGGGGTTTTAAAATAAACATTCCTTTTTCAATTGTCCTGAGAGCAAAAGAAGGAAAGAGAAAAGCATAATAAAGAAAGAGAGGAAATGGATGCCAAAGAAAATGAATAGTTCAATTAGAACATAAACTTGAGGAGAGGCAGGAGCAAGTACTTTAAATTCACAAGAACAGAGGAAGGGGAGCTCCTCTCCATAAAGAGTGCAGGCCCCTAAACACACACACACACACTCGGGGAGTGTGGGTGCAGCACCCTCTGCAGGAGAAGACATCCTCCGATAGACGCCTCTGAAGACATATGGCATAGCTGCTTCTCATACCCTTTAATATGTGAATTTGCAATCGGCTCTTGATTTCCTAAAAGATAAAATACCAAATAAGCCAGGATCTGAAAAAATGGTGAGTGTTTAAAATTTTTTTAAATAACAGTAAAAGCTGGGTGTGGTGGGGGCACACCTGTAATCCCAGTACTTGGGAGTCTGAGGCTGAGGCAGGAGGATCACTGCAAATTTGAGGCCAGCCTGGGCTACACAGTGAGTTCAAAGCAAGCCTGAACTACATAGCAAGAGCCTGTCTCAAAAAACCAAAAACATTTTAAAAATAAAATTACAGTAAAAGATATATTGCTATTAATCTCTCTCAAAATCCTCTCCCTCTCAGAATACTTATCCCACCGTTCTTGCCACTTCTTAAAGCAACTGTGGAAATTCTCTTTCCTGAGTGTCTTTAGTTACACTGTCATGCCTGCCTCAATGTTCTGAATCAATTCAAAATGTTTATCTTCCATGATCATATTAACTTTGAGCCAGAAGTGACACAGTGCCAGATCTGGTGAATAAGGTGGCTGAGGACACACAGTCATGTTTTTATGAGTCTGCCTTTCTGTTGGACGCTAGCATTTGGCAACAGCATTCACTGTATTTTGGAAATACCTCACAAAGACACTCATGAAAGAGGACTTCCAGAACTGCTTCAGAAAGTGGCAAGAATGAAGCTGGGAGTGGTGGTGCATGCCTATAATCCCAGCACTCAGGAGGCTGAGGCAGGAGGATTCCTGTGAGTTCAAGGCCAGCCTCTATATATAGTCAGTTCAAGGCTAGCCTGGATTATACAGAAAAGGCCTGTCTCACATAAAACAAAACAGAAACAAACAATAAAAAAGAAAGTGCCAAGCATGAGGGATAAGTGTGATCAGAGTGAGGGTATATATTTTGAGGGAGATTAATGGCAATATATCTTTTACTATATTGATTTTTAAAAATTTAAACATACACTATAGTTTTTTATTAGCTCTTAAACATCTTGCTTTTATTTAAAATAAAACCCTCTAAGATCACTGAATGCTATCAAACTCTGGTAGACTTGGTGGAGGAAAATGCAGCAAAATCCAAGGGATTCTTAAGGTGGGTCAGTTAAATCCACAGATAACATCAGCAACTGCAACAGAGCAAGGGCTGAGACAGAGGACTTTTCCCTCAGCTAAGCTCCCCTAAGGAAAGATGGGCTCCCTCTCCCTATTGTCCATGGCAGGGATGTTTACAGAGAGCCAGGTGAAGTCAGCTCAGTTGAAGATGAAAACCCCAAAGGCTCACAGAAATCACAGCAAAACAGACGGCTCATTACTGATTCTCAGAGGACTCTGGGTCAAAGGCCTTTGATGTAAAAATATACAACAGGTGTGTCTGGTACACCAGTAATTCTGGGCAGAAGCTGGACACCGATAGGTGGTAGATTCAAGATGGAGAAATCTGCCTATGACTTGAAACCAGCTTTTAGTTTTAATGATATGAGTAAGATGCGGGAGCTTAACTGTTTTTTCTTTTGAATGAGTAAATTTACATGAAAATCAGGAAGTTGAGAGATCACTGTACTAATTCATCAACACAACTGCGATCATTTTTACTATAAACATTGTTCCCTAGTATATTTTTCCTATCTCTGTCCCCTGACAAATCCTCTCTTCCCCTTTTCCCAGTTCTGTTTCTGCCTCTGCAGGATTTGACAACCACCTCCACCTGCAAATGACCAGGAACAAGCACATTGTGAATGCTCACCCACCTCCTTGGTCTCCAATAGTTGCTTTGGCAGTGGCTTCGGGACATTTAATAGATTCTCTTCTTTCAACGGGCCAGGGAATGACACTACTAAAGGAGGAGAAAGCAGTATTATAAGGAAGCAATCTTACCTTTGGCCAAATAAATGATCTGTGTAAAAATAATTTACTTAGAAACATTTATTGATTGTTGGGAAGGTGTTTTGAGCACCATGGTGTGGATGCAGAGATGAGTAAGACATGGATTAAACACATAAGGAATTTATAACCTAGCCTAGGCCTAAGGGCAACAACACAGATGCCCAGGAGAGCCATGGGTCCTGCAGTGTGGTGGTTAGGGTAGCAAGAACCCAGGGAGACTCAGGAGCCTTGGCACTCAGGCAGCCTTTTGGAGGCACAGAAAAGCGCATTCCAACGGAGCAGAAAATAAGAACAGGGCTTAGAGACAGAGGAAGTTGTGATCAGCTATGAACAAAGCAGTGCTTTTCACTTGCAAACTGGAGCAAGGAGATGCATAGCGATCTAGGAGATCCAAGGAGGGAGGGGACAAAGGAGAATGAGGTGAGCAGATGGAAGCCCTGGTGGAACTGCTTGGGGATGGATGAGAATAGGGAATAAAGATGAACTGACAACCCAGTGGATCTAAAGCTAGACAGCAGAGAGGGGCCCCAGCGTCTCTCAACACTGCCGAACAATCTGGCTTTCTGCTTTAACACTCAGGTTAAACATGGATGCTGAGCTGATCCACAAATGTGTGAAAGCTTTTGTTCTCAGAGATGAACCAGAAGACAAGGGCTGAATCTAATGTCAGGAAGGAATTTGGCACCAGACACAGAGACTGTGCAGATCTAGGAACACTATTAGGGCCCAGGGACCATGTAGCACCATTGTGACTGTCATGACTGTCTTTGTACTTGCCCCACATGGGGAGAAATCACTTAAAACTATGGAACAGAACTTCAGAGTAAATTCTGAAAAAGGGGCTTGAAACAAATGCTCTAAAGTAAGTTTACTGTCAATGTAAATAAAACATGGACTACAACTGCAACTGTGGACTCCTGGAATGAAATGTGGATGGGGGGACAGTTTCTCCGGTAGCACTTTAAGAGCACAACACAATGTTCTTCATGGTAACTGTCCCAGCACCATTCTGATAAGTGTTACTTGGGCCACACTGTCCAGGCTCTCAATGTGCCTTCGCATCGCTCAGTCCTGACCATCAAACCATTCTTTGTTCTCCATTAGCGAGAATGGAAGACAGCGCCTAGAGAATCACTTGCTCTATCACTGAGCTACATCCTGACCCAAATCACTCTCTTTTAAAGACCCTATTCTGTCAACATTTTGTTGGGTTTCAATGTTATCTGTTGTCTAATCATTAATAAAAACTGCTTCAGAAACGCAAGTTCCATGCAGGCAAAGCCTTTGTTTCACTTGTCATGGGTGTGTGTGTGTGTGTGTGTGTGTGTGTGTGCGCCCACGCGCACGTGCATGTGCACACATGAGCCTTGGAAATGCAGACCCTACAGCTGACTCCTCAGAATGGAGATAAGAGTAATAGGCACTGAGTCTGCCCAAACCAACATAATGGTTGACCATGGAGAGAAAAATGCTCTGGCGGGGTATAGCTCAGTAGTAGAGAACTTGTCTTTCATGTTCAAGGTCCTGGGTTCAGTCTCCAGTAATGAAGAAAAACAAATGGAGACAGAGTACTGCTGGGTGCTAGGAAAAGTTTCAAGGGCCAAGTAGGGGTAGCTTCACTACCCAGGGCTACTTCTCAAAAGAGCTTGGTTACAGGAATATGGTTGGGACAGGCTCCAGAGCTTTAAGAGAAGTTTTCTTTGAGAAGTTAATTGATTTTATTTTCTTTTCATATTTAAGATTTGTTGAGAATTCTTCAAAGAATTCATTAGGCAAATGCAAATAACATTGAAACCACTTCATTTCTGTCCGGATGGATTACATGTTTATTGATGTATCAATATTTCATGATTTTATTCAACACTTAAAATGGCTTGCTTAAAAATGGAGTAAGCAGAGCCGGGCATGGTGGCACATGCCTATAATTGCAGCACTCAGGAGGCTGAGGCAGGAGGATCCCTGTAAGTTCGAGACCAGCTTGGGCTACATAGTGAGTTTCAGGTGAGTCTCAACTACACAATGAGACCCTGTCTCAAAAAACATAAAAAACAAAGCAAAACTAAAGAAATGGAATAAGCAGGACAGTGACAGAGAATGGTATCTCTTCTGTAAGATGCTTCTCATTTATCATATCTCTAGGAGCCTTATCCCGGTGACATAAACCTCATTTAGCTGTTCAGTTTCAGATTATGAAAATTATATTCCAACATGAAAAGATTTAGGAAAAGGCTGCGGATTTAGCTTAGTGGTTCCGCCTCCTGCCTTGCAAGTGCAAGGTCTGGAGTGTGATCCCCAGTACCAAAAAAAAAAAAAAAAAAAGATTTAGGAAAAGGAAAGAGTGCCTGGTACTGAATGAATAAATGAACAGTAGTGAGTCCTCATTTGTAAATGGCTTTGACATCATTTTGGCAGATCGCCAAAATTATTTTAATTGGCTTTATGAAGCTCAGCACCTTCTGAAAATTTGTAATTCTGTTTTGCACTATGTTTGCATTTTCCTTGCACTGTTTATTTAAATTTATCAATTATTGGACCAGAGATTTAGCTCAGCCACTGCCTGCCTCTCAAGTGCAAGGTCCCAAGTTCGAATCTCAGTATCAAAATAAATAAATAAATACATTTATCAATTACTGACTTACAAAGAGTTTCTAAGGAGGTAGAAGCAGTACTGAGAAGAGAAGAATATTTGGGTAACTGTTTAAGGTGACTGACTCGTTTGTATTTTCATATGGCTACAACTTTTGCTTTCTTGTACAACCATGTGAGACTGGGATAATAGGAACCTTTGTAACCTAATTACCCATTTCCTTTCTCGTGGCCTTGATCATGGCTAGCCTCAAGTTTCTGGAGCCAGAAAAGTGACCCAATTCTCAGCTATCAATCTTCTGGAGTTTTGAAAACATTAGTTAGGCTGCTCAGAGAAGGCTATGCACAGGAACGTCAGCACCCCACCCCTAGCAGGTAGGCAAAATCAGCTCCTACCTTCCCCAGGGCCATCATTCTCCCCATCATAGAAACCTACAGAAGGAAAAAAACACTGTTATACATCTTTCATTTTCATTTATTCGTGATTTCATAACTTTCTGATTTGAAAAAGGCTTTTGAAATTTGAAAGCAGTTTGATACATCAAAGCTCATTCAAGGTGCTTTAGTATTTTTATACTAAAAGTAGATGTATTTATTTTGAGTCTAAAGTTCATGCCAATCTGCTTTTCTTTCCCTTTAAATTGTCTCATTCTTAAATTTCTTTACTGCCTCTGTCTTGAGAGAACAATTTCAACAAAGCCCAAGAACCTCTCTTCAAATCACAAAGCAAAGAAGTACAGTGTGAAACTTGCTCCTCCAACTGCTGTTTCCTGGGGAGAGTCCACGTCACTGCTGACACCATGGGTGTCCACAGGAACAGACTGGCAGCTCTGTGCTGAGGCCGTTTCCTGTTACTTATCTGTATCTCACTAACTCAGGTTGTGCATCTGGACTCTAAGTCAATTTAAAGGGTGTATGTGATAGCTATTCACAAGTTTTTAAAAATTTGACTTGGCAGAAGTTCTGGCTGAACAAAGAATATTTAATCCATAAAGTATCCTTCAGAGGACAAAGTATAGAATTTCCTATGCCTCTAAGCTAAAACTAAAGAACTGAGCCAAGAATATAACATTTTACCATTCTCCTTGGATTACCCAATTACCCCAAATGAGTTTTTAGTATAGAATCAGGGCAAAATTTTAAGTATAAGCCTTTAAATATAACTTACAGTTTAGATAAATTTCTGGGTAAGGTTAAATCATGACCTGTATGCCCATAAAAATTAAATACAATTATCTAATAATTTTCCATTCAACATATACTTACTAAGCTCCTACACTCATGGGGGGCAGGGGACCAAGGAGAGAAGAGAAGACCGACATGGCATGTAACTCAGGTAAAAGATACAGTCTTTGTGGTACCTTGAACAGGTCTATAAATAGAATCACACATACAAAGCCAGCTTTTCTTGGGCCCACAGAAACAGAATCTAAATAGTGATCAAAATGTTTATTTTAATGCACATAAAGACCACTTGGGAGAGTTTGTTAAAATGCTGATTCTTGGATCCAACCCTCAAAGATACTGACTCAGAAAGCATAAGAATTGGCATATACCTCTAATAACTACCTCTGGGGCCTCTCCTACAGATAACTAGGCCTGCTCTTCTGAGAGATTTGGGTGAGGCTATGGTGTGGGCTATGTGAACAGAGGGACATTAGAAAGCAAGGTGCACAGAGACAAAAGGTGTGGCTCTACAGTCAGCATTGTCCAAATGAGAGGAAAGAAATTCCTGATTCATATTTTAGCTTTTTGGGAAAGAGAGGGGAGTTAACCATTCTGACACTAAAATGTGATTATCCTATTCAAAGTTAAAAACTGTTTCATATAGCAGTCTAGCATGGTATGTGAAAGAACCTCTTCATTCTAGGTTTAATCACTAAGTCTAGAGTAGCCTTGGAACATGTAGACTCAACTGGGGGCCATCACGTAAAACTGCCCAGAGGCTAGTCAACCCCCATGACATCCATTAGTGAACCTTCTCATCAGGCTGGACAGAAGGCAGGCGTGGAGCCTGAGTCAGGCACTACAGTGTAGGGGGAGGATAACAACAGCCAACATTATTGTTTGCTTACTATGTGCCAGGCATTTCACACAAATGCTCTCATATTAACCTAATATGGGTGCGCACTGTTAACATGGCTAAGATCATATTGCTAGTTCTAGGGCTAGAACTCTGGTCTGGGAGTCTTCAGAGTAGCCATGTCCCGAAATGATTTGCTGTACCGAGAGGGACTGAGACAAATGGAAGTAAGACGGACGGCGATGCCCCAGTGAAAAGACAGGAGGAGGTAGAGGAGGAGGAGGATGGCGAGCAGCGAAGAGGATGGGAAAAGAGCAGGATGTGTATGGCAGGGAAGGGCACAGTCTGGCTACAACACAAGATGGGCAGGATGGGAGATAAGACTGCGTAGAGAGGTAGGCTGGGAACCTGGCATGAGGTGAGGAGTTGAAGATTTGGGTCACAGCTAAGCTTTCCAAGCAGCAGATGTGAGATGGACTGAAAAGAGAAAGCATCAAGGCCGGGGGACTAGGTAGAAAATCAATAAAATAGGGCAGACAAGAAGTAACAAAGTAGGATTATTGGCAGAAAGTACAGAAAATAAGAGTTAATGAGATACCGCAGGGATAGGATGAGCAGAACATGGCTACACTGTGAGTGTGAGGGGCAGGGGAACAAGGGTAATTCAATATAACTCTGGAATTATGCTTCAGACATCAGAGCACAGTGGTGGTGAGAACTGATGTTAGCACTAAGCCAGCACATAATCAAAACATCCAAGTTGGACTTTTCCTACTAGATTAAAAAATACCAGGAGATACAACTATAAATAAAGGGTTAAAAAAAGGAACAAATTGTGACTGGATATTTGAAACAGAGGAAACTAATTCACATTGTTCCCATGGGGGATGGGACAAGGATGACCAAGGTCACATCTGTGTTCCAGGAAAACAGTGCCACAGAGGGCTGACCTAACTGAGTGAATTTGAGACCACGTTCCTCTAAGCACTCCCCTGCCTAGCAAGTCTAAAATAACTCCTTGCCTGATGCCCTGATTTAAAGTAGAGGAGGAGGCAAAGGGTGGACCCCTTAACCAGAGTATGTCCTAAAAGAAACCTCAGCCTCCCTGTCCCAGGCCCTTTTACCACCCCCTGGTGACCTTTTTATCCCTCTTTAGATCTGGGATGCTTGTGCCAGCCAAACAAGAGTCCAGGCTCACATCTCTCAGAGTTATTTGCATTTTAAATCTCTTCCTTGACTCTGAAGGCCAAAGCTTAGTGCAGGTTGAGAGGTCAAGGAGGTACAAGTCCCTGCCCTCCACAGGAGGAGCCCAGAACTGTAGTCCCCACAGGCAACAGTCAGCACCTACCACTCTAAATAGGGAGAAGACAGCCAAGCAGGCTTCTGCTCTTAGCCCCAGGCTGTGGGACAGGGCGAGGCTATGGGACAGGCTTGCACATTTGTGTGTCTGCTAAATGGCACTTAAGAAGCACATTGTGCCAGGGAAATGGTCAACATTTTTCTTTATAGATTCTTAGATAGTGAAAGAGAAAAGAGAAATTAAAAGAATACTGTTTGGTTGTAAAAATTTATTTGTGATTTACAATTGCTTATCATTCATGCCTCAATGTCATTTGATTCAACAATCATTACGAAAATTACTAAACATGTATCCAACTAATGACTTTATTTTCCAGGGACACAAACCTCTGCTCATGAATGCATCACAGTTTACCAGTCCTGTGGTTCAGCTGTGAGCAGATGCTCCCTCATCATCGTTCTCAAGAGTAACTACAGCAGCGTGGAACTCCACTGCTACGCCCAGGAATGATTCCCAGGAAAAACTGGTTGTTATCGCTCCTCCTCCAGAACCTAGGTCTGGGCTTCCATTACATTTTCCCATCATTTTTTAAATCTTTATTTGGTTGGTCTTCTAAAAAGAAATACCTTTTTGTGAAGCTAGTTGATATTTTTAAAATCCAAAAGGAAAGAAAATGAAAAACTTTACAGGGGGAAAATACATAAAGCTATTTAAATAGCTCCCCAAAACAAATATAATTCTCCATAAATAATTCCCATCCTTGGAGACTTGAATAATATTTTAAACACACTGGCTTTCCCATGTAAACACATCCATATTTGGGCGTGTTTCTGAGTTCTGCAATCCTTGCATGGCAAGAGCAGGGCAGCACATGGGACAGATATCTGAGCTGAGCAGGGTTGGATACTTCCATGGATGTCAGATATTGTGGCTCAAAATTTCTAAGTACTGATTTGCAAAGGAGAGGCCACCAAGATTTTCATGTCAGCCAGGCCAGGGACTCTGGTCCAGGATTTCCTCCCTTTATTTATTTATTTATTTATTTATTTGTTGTTGTTGTTGTTGTTGTTGTTGTTGTTTTGAGACAGGGTCTATGTAGTTCAGGCTGGCTTCGAACTCACTATGTAGCCCAGGCTAGTCTCAAATTCGCAGTGATCCTCTTGCCTCAGCCTCCTGAATGCTGGGATTTACAGGCATCCACTACCATACTCTGCATCCTTTCTTTTCTTCCTTTATTCCCCCATCTGCCTGGATCAACGTTTATTTTCCTTCACTTTTCTTATTCATCCTCACACTTTCTGACATTTCCCACCTCTTCCCTCAGAGGCCACACCACTTAGCACAGAAGAGTCAGTCCAGGTAACCACCTTTGTAACTTTCTTTGGTCTTTGAATGCAAGCCTCAAAGACTCCTTAAGCCACCTCTGGCTCCTTTGTTCTCTCTAGGCCTTTGACCCCTTCTGAAACCCGACCTGCAGACCCCTCCACTAAGCACAAAGCCTACATTGTTAGCCTGCAGCCAACCTACTTTGTCCTCCCACACACCCACCTCTATAAGCAGTAAGCATTGTCCTCTGTCTGATTCTGATATCTCTGCCCAAGTACTCTCACAGCCCCACATGTGGAAGAAACATGGGCAGGAGAAGTCCCACCCCATGCATAAAGCCCTCAGACTTCACAAGCAAAAGATCATGTAAGCGAATGGAGTTTCCCCTGAACTGCACCCAGGGAACAAATAAACCAGCCATTACCATCAAATCCCATCCCTCCTATATACAAAGCAAAGAGACCATGAACGTTTGCCTTGCAAAGAACAGAGATTCTTTAGACTTCAGTCCAAGAAGTAAAGAAAACCAGAAAAGCTGGTATGTTGATCAAAGATTATTTCCAAACCTTCTGAGAGTCAACCTATACATAGAATAGGTAACTCCAGACTGCTGTCCTTTCTAGATTATGAACACCAGAAATGTAGCCTCAAAAGATCTCTGGTTTCAGGTACATGTTAAATGTCAGCACTCACAGTGTTTTAGCAAGGGCTGGCTCCACACACATGAGCCATGTATATCTTTACATGATATCCTTGTATTTCTCCATCAGTGAGGGTTCCTCTGTGCCATGTACTGTGTTAGGTATCAAAGAAAACAAGACCAGTAGTTAAGATTCTATCTTTAAGAAATCTACCCTAGTCAAGCATGATGGTGCACCACTATAATCCCAGCACTTGAGGAAGCTGGGACAGGAGGATCCCAAGTTCAAGCCCAGCCTGGGCAATTAAGCAAAACCCTATCTCAACAAGAGAAAAGATTAAAAAAGTGGCTGGGGGCATAGCTCAGTGTGTAGTCCCTGGGTTCAATTCCCCAGTACTGGAGAAAAAGAAAGAAATCTATCTTAAGCAGAGGGAGAGAAACATGTCTATAGAAAGCAGTCAGGTGTGGCAGATCCTAAGGGCACCTGCATGGAGGAGCCTGGAGATGGTAAAAGGACATAGTAGTTTGAACCAACACAGAGTGAAATGCCACAGAGGGACAGAAACATGGACACCAGCTGAGGCCAAAAGACCCACAGGGTGTTGGCCAGGTATGACAGGACTGAATCATGAAAGGAGATGTGAACAGGCTGGAAGAGTAGTAGAACCCAAGTGGTTTGCACAGTTGAAAAGTAGGAAGAGAGGGGCCAGGGCTGGCAGGGGCCAGATCCTGGGATTCATATCACTCCTGGAGGTCTGTATCCCTTCTTCTTGAGTTAAGAGGTGGCACTGTGGGTCTCAGGAAGAGAATGAGAGGTGTAGATGTGGGTTTATGCTGGAAACAGATAGTAGGAGGTGGCATGAGGCTGCCTTTCTTCGACTCTTATTACTCCTGCCCTGCTCCAATAACTCAATCGAGCCTAACAGTAGAGTAGGTGGAATAGTGACACCTCTCCTTCTCCACTCTCCCTGTGTCCCCAGTCTCCCAGAGTATGCCTCCCACGGGATGCCACCCTGCGCCAGCACTGATGACTACTGAGGTAGACTGCCTCATTCTCGGGCTCAATCATAACAATTCCACGGACTCACAAAGAGTAGCACTTTCCTGCAGCCTAGTTTTACCAAAAGAGGATCTTGGGGAACCCACCAAATAACTGGATGGGATGGGTCAGAGGCTGGAAAAACAGACATTGAGGAAGCTAATATGAGAGCCATGTGAAGGGTAATGGGTGCCTAGAAAAGGGCCAGTGCACTGGTCAGGAGGAAGAGCAAAGGCCCAGAGATGCCAACAAGGGAGTATTTGCAATATAAGAAGCAGGGAAGATGTACATCCTAACTTATATCAAACGCACACCCTTCCCATGCCTGAGCCTAAGGCCACCAAAGTGTAGAAGCGCATGCTCTGCATAAACTTTGATCATTCTAATGCTGTAGGCAGGGATTGTGTGTCTTACCCATGTATGGGGCAGGCCAGGCTGATGGGCCCCCTCCTCCATAGGGGTCCTGGGGCTTGGTACTCAGGGCACTCGTGTGCAGAGCAGAATCGGAATTGGTCCTAAAGAGGGGATGAGAGACCTGGATGAAAATCCATTTTCCTTAGTGACATGCAATATTCTTTGCTGAATATTACCCAAGGAAAGAAGGCAAGACAGTGATTTACAAACATCATACATGAAGAGGGACCTACCTGCAGTCCCTTACTCAGAAGGTCACCATACCTAAGACTGATTTGTGGTCAGCTTTACACTTTGAGGCAGATGGCATGGTGATTGTGATTGCTTAGATGAATTAAGATCCACCCAGCAAATTAGTAAAACACGGCTGTGGCTGTGTCTGCGGTTAACTGACATGGAGGCTCCGAGCTTTGAAGAAAGGACCAATCCTGAATGTGGGTGGCACCAACCAACAGGCTTGTAGCCTGGATAGCAGGTGGCCATTCTGAATTCTTTTACTCCTCAATCTACAGGCAGCCACTGTAAGCCTACCTTTTTTCATATTAAATCTGTTCTTCTAGTGAACCCTAACTGATAACAATGATCTATTTCAACCAGGTGAGCCTTGGGATCATGCCTTCCCTTTTCTTCTTCACAAGTCAGAAGATGGCTGTGACCAGCATGAGTGGCAGCTATATCAAGTTTTCTCCACCTAAGAATACCTATTCCTATGTGAAAGACCACCTAGAATGGTGCTTCTCAAACACTTGTAGGAAAAGGCAAGGCCAAGACTATTTTCAAAATAATACCACAATGTTATGTTCCTCACGTTCCCCTTGTGTGCCCACAGCACAGTGGGGTCAGGTCTCCAGCAGCCACATAGCCTGACACCACTCTAGACCAAGAGTATAAGCAGTGAAGTCAGCTGCCTTCAGGAGCTTTGGAAAACATACAATGATGTGACTGTGTTGATATTTTTTTAAATACAATTGTGCTTCTTTAAAAGAGATATTCATTAACATGTACTGGGTTTATTGTTATTTTTTAAACACGTTGGCTGTCCTAAGGCAAGTTTGGAAACCGCTGATTAGTACAATTTTCAAAAACTCTCCCAGATGGCTCTAGGTTATACACAGCCTTGGTTCCACAGGCAATTGTTCATTTATGTCATCCGAGGGCCAAACTATCATAAGAAGGATATGTGAGAAACTTTAAGTTAGCCTGAAATGCTTCTCTGTGGTCCATTCCAGGTGACAACTTCATGTGACTGCTAAGCCAAATGTCTTTAGATAAGGGAAGAAGCCAGCAAGAGAAGGGCCTGAGAGAAGCCCTAGAAGGGCCTTAGAGCCCTGGCTCTGGGAACAGACAAAGCTAAGTGCAGCACCAACGCCTCAGTGGGTTCAGACACTCAGGTACATCAGTCAAATGCAGAGAACTGGAAAAGTGTGGGTACAGATTGGTATCAGACCATGTGAAGGAATCACAGTTAATTTTGTTAAATGTAATAATGATATTCTGGTTATATTTTCTTTTTTAAGGCTCTCATCAGCCTTGTCTGTTAGAGACACTTGCAGGTGAATTACTTTGTGGAACTAGGGTATGAGGTAGGGGCAAGGAAGAAATGAGACTGGTAGAATGGTGATCAAGACTGAAGCTAAGGGACATGACCAAGGGTTTTTTTTGTTTGTTTGTTTGTTTTTTACAGTCTTGTTTTGTGTGTATGTTTAAAATCCTGCACTATTAAGAGTTTTTTTAAATGCCCAGTCCCTTTACATATTAGCTCAGAAGTCCTGAAGCCTTGTCAAAGAGAAAATGATATTCATTTCTGCAATGTATTGCAGGACTGAAAAAACAGATGCAGGAAGAACACTCACTTCTGGAGAATGACCCAAAGTGATCATGAGAACAGCTGATGTTTATTGAACACTTATGCTTCCCGTATGTTATCTTATTCAGTCCTCATAACTATCCCTTGAGGACACAATTATCTCCATTTTTCAGATGAGCAAAACTAAGGTGTATAGAATAGTTTAATCTACTCAAGGTCATGGTAAGTGGTGGCCCTGGTGAGCATATATCATATTCCAGGCCTCATGTCCTTATATTGTGCTCTCCTGGGCCCTGGATACCAGTAAATGGGGGTTTGTTGTTAATATTTCATATAAACACAACTGAGAAACACACTTGGCAGCTGGACAACACATCCAGAATATCAGGACAATCAATTTACTTTTATTAAGAAACAGCCCATGTACCTGTTAAGTGCAGATGTTAATCTGAACCCAGGATGCTTTTCTTCTTTCCAAGGAGGCTGCTGCCTTTAGAAACCAGAACAACATAAAAAGAAAAAAGTTCAATCCACAGAAGCAAAAGAAGACCTCAGACCTGAATCTGTGAACTGGCTCTTCTACTCATCTAGCTGCCTGACCTTAGTCACCTAAAAATCGCTCCACACCTTGCTCATTTTGCTCTTCATTGTTCAAATGAGGCCAGACTGAATGGTATCTCAATGCCTACCATCTCTGATTTCCAGGATAATTACCACAACCCTAAGAACAGGACTACTTGGCTGGGTATACAAGGAGTTAACACACAAATAAGCACCTTTGAAAGCCTTTTGAAATTGGCTAAATCTCTGACTCCTCTTGAGGGGATTTGAGGTCTTACATCAGATGTGTCAAAATGACCCCTTCTATGTAGCTTAGGTGCATGCATGTGTATGGGCTGCCATGGCAATCTGGATGCAAAGATTTTGCATTCTCATAAGGATAGTCACAAGGAGGAAAATTGTTACACTCACCCAGGTTATAAAAATATTAACATGACCGATCCTAGTGCTCTGTAAACATAAGATACTTTTTCTTGGCTATACATAAGAAAGCCATCAGTTTAGAACTTTTTTCTGATTTGAAAAAAAATATTATGTTTATCCTAAAAACGTGAGTCCCAGGGCTCTCAACAGCTGAAAACCTACTCGAAGTAGGGGCCAACTGTTCTCTATTTCTGTGTCCTTCCCTAGCCCAGACCATATTATCTGCAGTAAGTGCTCAGTCAGTATCAGCCCAGAGAATGGAAGGAACCCAGAGACCTGAAGGTCTTCGATAGATCACAGATACTCACAAATCTGAGTGTGATCTGAAAATGATACCACACACGTAACAATGCAGCAGTTCTTTTCAGTTAATTTCATAATTTGTCATCCTCTATACTGGGTTCAAAAATATTCAGAGACTCTAAAACACACTGCACAAATATCATTTTAGGAGACTTTCACTCCTTCGGATAGTTTACTAAGACACCTGGAGAAAAAGGGTTTAGTTTTCCATGTCTCAAATATATATCAAATCAAAGTATGCTACTGGTAAATTTATTCCAAATGTGTTTCTATTTAGTTTTAAGTAAAAAGATCTATATTTACTTAAGTAATTTTTCACTTTATACTTTCATACAAGCCATGATTATACACGGAAAGACTTAAATTTTAGGAGTCAACAGATTTTGTTTTAAATTACAAATTTCTAAAACAACATTCAAGGTAGATAAAAGTGAAACCATTAAAAAATACTCATATCTTTTAAGATACCTTTGGAATACAGCTTTCTTACCTCGGCCAACTCTCATCCAGGGGCTGCGAAGAATAACTGGCTCCAAATGTACTGCCGTCAAAGTAGAATTTTTAATAAAGGAAAAATAAAATTAATGGAAACTTGAAGCAGAATTAAGAGGCTGCAATTGTGAAGAGTCATACAACTGAGTTTTATCTCTCCACCTGACAGCTCTTCCTTTATGTTTACTCTTATCAACTTCTTCAAGAGTCTTTCACTGTCTTCTAAGTTCTAGCCTTTGCACAATTCATTTGGGGTGCTTTTTCTTTTTTCTTTGCCTGAACAGCGCCTTCTGTTTTCCCACCCCAGTAAGGCTATCATTCTACACAGGCCTCCTTTTCCATGGATGCCACAGCCCAGTTACTTCCAGTCAGGCCACCTCATGCCCCTGGAGGCCGTGAGCGGCTCAGGGTGGGCTCAGACAATCAGGACTCAGCAGAGTGCTCCCTGGGAGGAAGAAATGCTCCTGTTGCAGTGAAGACTCCACAGGCTATTTCAGTCTGGGCAAGCTCCCCTTGGGGAAACTTGTCCGTGTGTGAAGTCAACACAGATATGGCACCACAGAGAAAGAGTCTATGATAATGCATGACTCTCTGATCTAGTCCCTGGCTTCTAGTGACATAAGCCAAAAAATTTCCTCTTTCCAAGTTCAGGTGAGTTCCTGTTATTCATAATCAAAAGACAGCTGCAGTGGATTTGTGGAGAAATGTAAACTTCCTGGTGTTATTAAAACCTGTTTACATTTTTTTGGGGGGGTACTGGGGATCAAACTCAGGACCTTGCACTTGCCAGACAGGGAGTGGAACCACTGAGCTAAATCCTCAGCCCATTAAAGGCTGTTTATAAATACTACATCAGTCATTGGGTCTAGCAGAGGGTAGAACACATTCCAGATATATGTAGAAGGCAACAGAGTATGGAATGATACACACTGAATACAGAATGCTATCTGTGCTGATTTACATATTTGTACCCATAGGACTGTCTTAAGACATTTTTAAATTTTTTGATAGCACTGGAGTTTGAACTCAGGTCCCTGGCACTGAGCTACATCTCCAGGCTTTTAAAAAGAATTTAAAAAAATTTTTGAGACAGGGTCTTGCTAAGTTTTCCAGGCTGGGTTTGAACTTGCCATCTTCCTGCCTCAGCCTCCCACAGTGCTGGGATTACAGGCATGTGCCACCACTCATGGCTCCAAGACATCTGTAGTCAAATTATTCTCCTGCTAACAAATCTTTGATGATTCAGCCTGAAAGACAAAATCATCTTTTTGGCCTGGTAACTGTACTGTGCTCCACAACTTGGCTACAAGGCACTCACTGATCTACTTTTCTCCCAACTGCAGCAGGTCGCAGTTCCACACACATCCTGCACTTTCCTACCTCTTTGCCTTTGCTCCTGTCATTTTCTCTTTCTCTCCTAGGTGGAACGCAGCCTCCTCCAAGATCCGGCTCCCTCCCTTATCACCCTCACCAAATCCACACCCATTCTTTTAGTCTCCTATAGTACTGTTGGAGGAAATACGTATTAGACAGGTACCAATAATGCTTTTGATCCCAAACCTTTATTTCTTATGGTAGAAATCATACAGATGATACAAGGTATACATTAGGAATCAGAAATGTGAAGATTGAGCTGGGTGTGGTGGTACACACCTGCAATCCCAGTACTTGGGATACTGAGGCAAGAGGATCACTATGAGTTCAAGACCAGCCTGAGCTACACTGTGATAACCTGTCTCAAAAAAAAAAAAGAAAAAGAAAAAGAAATATGGAGGGCTGGGGATTTAGCTCAGTAGTGATGGGCCTGCCTCCCAAGTGGAAGGTCCTGAGTTCAATCCCCAGTATCCCCCCCCCAAAAAAGTGAAAAATGGGTACAAGCATCTATTATGTCAGGCCTGTCCTGGTGAGGCTATATTCTCATTCCATTTTAACAACCATCCTGGTAGGCAGATGACATTATTTCCCATTTTACAGCTGGGGAAACAGGATCAGTCCTAGAAGAGTCAACAAATCCAAGATTACACAGCAGGAATGGCAGGTCAAGGTCACAGTGAGCTTACTGATGCCAAAGCTCAGAGCTCTGCACAAGTTGTGTTGCTTCTCAGAAAATGAGGCGCCAGCCCCAACTGCCCCCAAAACAGAAAATATTTCTGAATATTTTCAGAAAGATGGGGGCTAAAAAAGAAAGCCCTAATGGATTGGGCTAGGAAGAAATGGGACCTGGCCTACAGGCTTGGGCCAGGCATCTCAAGTGGCTACAGAACCTGGAATTAGCAAACCAGGGCACTAATGACATAGTAAGGATTTAGTAAACTATTTCCTTTGCCAGGAGAAACATTAGGATTTTAAATTTCATCTGAAGTTCACTTTCTCTGTCTTGTCTCATTATCTTACTTCTTAATCTCACCCTGAGCCAGCACAAAACAAGTATTTTCCAGGGAGATAATATTTCTTCAACTTCAATTATTAGACTTCATGTATGTGAAGTACAGATTAGAATAGAATCAAAAGAAAAAGGTGATAAATAAGAATGCCCCTGTGACATGAAACAGATCAGAATTTTAGTTGGCAAAGCCTTTAGGGAGGAGGCACTGAATCTCACAATCTGTAGTTATCACCTTTCTTTTTACTGCAGGGATAGATGACTCTGCCCAGTAAAGCATATTTCATGAAGCAGATCTTTACAGTTTTTCTCAGTGCACTGCCATCCTTAAAGTCATAAAGTCCCATTATATACTACATTCAAATGAGAAGGAAGTGGTATAGTGGTAATATAATGATCAAACATTGGTATTTCAATGTTGATGCATAAAGTTAGCACTTTAACCTTCCTGGTTTGTATTAACAATAAGAAAATGTAATAAATTCCTGAAATTTTATACATGATTATTCTGATATCAAAAATTAAAAGAACTCTTGCATTTCTTGTCTTATTTGGTGAATTTTCTAAAACCTAAGAACCACAGGCACCAAGAGACCACTCTAATATTATAAGCTTACAATTAAATTCAGTAAGAGGAAAACCTAGACAAGGTTTCTTTCTGTTCTTTTGAAAGAGTTCAGAAAACTATATTCAGGTAGGTATAAATTACTGCTTCATACTAGAATGACCTCAAGGCAGAAAACACCTTCATTTGTAAATTTGAATTTGCTGTCTAATTCAACAAGCAATTCTGGAATGCCTGCTAGGTAAAGGCTTACAAGCAGAAGAGACCTGCCGGATACAGTCTTTAACAAGCTATAATGATTCTACGCACATCCTTGGGTAGTTAAGCTCAGATAGTTAAGCCTAAACACAAGTGATAATGTAAAAGAAAAGCAAGGGAGAGGTGGCTGAAGTGGATGGAAAGAGAAAGGTCCAGACTACTATGGACCGTCATATGCACTGTGCCACAGCTCCTTCACAGGCTCCATTCCTCTATGGCCATCAGGATGCCTGTGGGCCCTGAGCCCTCACAGCCTCAGCCCACAGCTGCTTGAGCTGCTCTCCCAGGGACAGGATGGGAAGTAAGGAGTTGGAGACACTGAATACCAGGCAGAGCAGGAGCAGGAAGATGAGCCTCTGGGACAGATGTGCTAGGAAGAGAATCCCAGGAGACTGACAGCAGTCCTCCCTCAGGCAAAGAAGCCCAGCCATCATGCTCACCATGGTCAACCCCAGTCTTATCTTGGCTCCAGTCCAGCCACTCACAAATCCATGTCTCCAGCTTCCAATTGTTCTTGTGAACCCCAAGCTACTATTTCCAACTGCCCGCTTAAATTCTCCTCTAAAAGTACACCAGACACCCGATTCCCCCCTAAAATCAAATCAATGACCCCTTATCCTCTCATCCACCATCTGCCCCTCTTATATTCCCCATCTTATTTCAGGAGGGGCTATCCACCTACATGCTCAGTTGGGGTCTCAGAGTCATCCTGGTCTGTCCCCTCTCTGTAGTAGTTAGCAGGGGGAGTTCAATCCATCAACAATGGGGATTCAAATCCTCACAACTCACAAACCAGGGAGTGTCACAGGGAACAGTCCTCACTTCTTCCCTGGACAAAGCAGAGCAGCTCTTATTTGATGTGAGAGGACATCTGTTGGTCAGTTACCCAAAGAATAACTAAGCCAAAGAAGCACAAAAGTCCTACCTGGTCTTTTTGTACTGCCAAACTTTGTTGGGTATACAGGGCTGGGTTCTTCTCTTGGCTTCCTATCTCTGTGCTGCAAGCACACCTAGGCAGGGAGCATGGTGGCTCGTCGCTTTCTCTCCCATCCATTATGTGTTGCCAGGACAGGGTGCAGGGCAGGCCTGTAACCTTCCATGCAGCTAGTGGGTAAATGGACTTAAGAGACTGCGTGATAGGACCCATCTACCCAGACACATTCTTGGGTCAGATTTAATATATAAAACTGCTCACAATGTACATCCTTCCTAATGTCTCAGCCAGGTCCTTATTGTTACTCTATATCTACTTGTCCCTTAACCTTTAATAATGTCTCTGCAAAATACATGTTTTGTTTTTTTCTGGTACCATGGATCAAACTCAGGACCTTGTGCTTGTGAGGAAGGCAGAGAGCCACTGAGCTAAATCCCTGACTCTTCTACAAAACACATTTTAAAGTTAAGAGAGGTAGGTATATGACTGGGATCTGTCTGAGTCTTTTTATTTGCCTGCTTCTCTCAGAATGTTGAGGCAAATAGGTTGCATGTGTAATATTTCTTTCTTAAAATTCTAAGGACCAGTATGTCCTTATCCTTCAAGATGCTATGGGTACTGAATTTTGTGATCACACAGGTTTTGGAAATTCTGGGTTAAAGGTAGGAAACTTTCTGTCTTATGTGTTTTGTCTTATGTTTTTTGATCTGTTAGTCTAGCTATTAATCTGTATATATGTTAATCTGTATAATGATAATTAACTTTATAAGGACTTAAATGGATCTAATGCTGACCTAAGGGGAGAGGGTAGAGGGAAGGAGTAAAGGGAATTGAGATGTTATGTACATGTGTACCAATTCCTCAAAATGAAAGTAATCATTATGTACTGCAAACATGTAGTAGTAAAATAAAAACATTTTTTTAAAGGTAGGAAGCATCTTACCTGCAGAGTTTCTCCAAGCACCACAATGCACTGTGAGGCACCACAAGGGGACAGAGAACACAGTGTTTCTCAAATTTAATAGGCCATGCATGTCAAGAAACAGTGTCCTAAAAATGTGTGCTCTAAAATTTCAAAGCAACGCCCACTCCAGAGAGGAGGATCCTCCCTAACTCTGGCATGTCTTTAAAGCCATTCACACTAGTGAACTTTCCATTTGTTGGAAAACTTCCTAACATTTATCTTTCTGCCTTTCAAAATACAGATCACTTTTAGAAGAAGGCACTGTCTGTAATTCTTTAGTTTGTCCTCTCCCTTTTCAATGCATTACCCTTGAGTCTGAGAAAATATTTCATTTATTGTAAACTTCTGAAAACAGTTCAGAAATTCAACAAGATGGTTTTGGGAAATATCACATTTGCTGCCCTTGAGAGCAAAGAGTGAATAGAGTTCCTACATGGTCACTGAAGGAAAGTTCACAAGCTTCTACTCCAAGCTCCCTGCCCAGGCCCCTACCAGAAACAAGCAGTGGGGGCTCTGTTCCTCTGCCTATACATGGGGGTGCAGGGTAGAGCCTAGAGCTGCCAGCACCCCAGTCTTGGTCATGACCATTGCCTGTGCCAATAGCACAGCCCACTGCCCCAGCCATCTGCAGTGTGGCTGCCCACTACCGAAGGAATCTCTGTGCCCAAGTTCTGCCTGCTGGGCTGCCCACTCTGAAAGAAAGCCTGAGTATGTGCCAAATAATGTCTGTTTTATTTGGGATCAATGTACCCCCAGCTGAACTCTTATGTAAGCCCATCCTAAAATCATGCCTAAGCCAAAAAATAACCGTAAACAAGAAAATTTTATATACATCTTTTCTGTTCAGAATTCAAACCAGTTTTCGTATTTTTAAACAATAAAGCTTCATTAAAAGGTAAGAGAAAAATGTGAAAAGCAACAATTTTAAGGAAATTATTTCACAACAAACAGAATGCAGGCCATGAAAGAAAAGGACTCAGTTCTCCCCATCTAAGTTCTCTTGAATAAATAACACCTCTGATGTAAAATCACCCCACATTTGTATTTTGTTAGAGTGTATGTTTCCTTGATTCAAGAGAGACTCACTGCTTCATTTGTGGGTATCCTTGGGCTGAAGGACTTTCTCTGCATCAGTATCCAGTGCCAGGACCCCAATTAGGAGCTTAAAGAGGAGACCACAGGAGACGGCTCATGATCTGAGTTAGACTCATACACTCTAGTGAAGACCTTTATCTGTGCATTCATTTGGAGTGATGAGGTTTGCTGATGCTCACAAGCTGGCTTAGTCAGAGACAAGGTTTCCTGAACACACACTGCCATCTCCTCTGCTGGGACTGTGCACACTCCAGTCCCTCTGCCAACCACTCCCTTCCCAGATGCCTACACTCAGGATCAGAGTTCACCCTCTAAGGTAACTCTCCTCAATTATTTTTGCCTTTATGCTGTCTGTTGTCACCCAGGAGTGTAAACTCAAGAAGGTGGGACAATGTCCTCTAGGCACCTTATCTGTTCCCAGACTGGCTTGAGTGGACCCTCCTATGTGCCCATCCCACACACACCAAGGTGCCTCAGCCCCTGACAACATGTGCATGACCACTTCTGGCTTCAGCCTCTTTCATCCGACAAGAAGCAACAGGGGAACTGGGCCCATGGCAGTCTGCTGTCATGTCTACAAGGTGTAAGATGTGGCCTGGCCACTAGCAGATACTTCACAAATCGTTTTTAAGTAAACAAACAACTCCTTTCTCTTTTCTTCAATTCCTCTATCTTCTACTCCTTTCATTATTAAAGCTGTGTGTGTGTGTGTGTGTGTGTGTGTGTGTGTGTGTGTGTGTGTGTGTGTGTGTGTGTGTGTGTGTGTGTGTCATCTACATTTAGGCTATACTTACTTCAAAAATGATCTGTGATGGCCATGTATACAGTACACACCTATATAAACAATACACATAGTAAAATATATAATATATAGAGCCTTGACAAGAGAGAGAGGGAACTGAGAAATTGAAAAAGGTATATTGTTAAGAAAAGAAACACTGGCTTTTGTTTAAAGATTCCAAGCAATTCAGAAGAGGTGAGTTAAATGAATTGCCTCAATTCTCTTTTACCTTTTGCACTGTGTCCAAGTTACCACACATTCCAAAAAGGAATTCTCAAGATCACTTACCATCTTCATTCTCCCTAAAAATGGCCACATAAAGTACAAAACTACAAAGCAGGCATTTCTGTGGACCAAATATAGTGTCTCGTGGCAGGAGAGAGGGCAGAAATCAATAGTCCACAGAGTCCTCGTCCTTACCTCAGGAAGAACCTCAGGGGTTTCTCTGCGTGCGCCCCACAACTCCTCACACTCTGTCTTTGTGTCCATGGCTCTCATCACCCCTAGGGAGCAGACAGCGTGGCATAGGGAGCCAGGTTGCAGACTGGGCTGTCAGGGGCCTGGACCAAGCCCAGCCTCCTCAGGCCATGGCAGCAAAACCCTGAGCAGTCACTGCTGCTCTGTTTCCTCATGGGAAGATGGAAGTTAACAAAACAGACAACTCAGTGAGTTCTGAGGACCAAATGACATAGCACTCGTTCAGCTCAGTGCTTGGCATGAGCAGGTATTCAGTAAACACCAGTGCCCTCCCCCATTTCCTTCTCTGGGTTGTGAAGCCAGCTTTGCTATCACTGCCAGGAATTCAGTCTCTGCAGGGAGACATGCCACGCCTTCTCCTCCTTGCTCCACCCTGCTGTGTGCTCTGAAGGGTGAAGTGAGAGCGAGGGGACTCTGGCATGCCTCTGGGTCCTCTCCATGACATCCAGCTCAGTTCCCAGTGCCCTTAGTAGCTCTATGCTTGTCACACAGCAGTGACTCCACCTCTTCCCCACCATCCTGTTCCTCCACTTTCTAACCTGCAATGGTTAAGTAAAACTGACAAATTCAGTCTTTTTTTAATTGCTACTTAGCAACATAGTTTGTATACATCACTAGATAAGAATTTCCCTAAATTCCAAGTTTATATTTTGGTTGTCACTTACTGAGTATGAAACTCTACAAATAGAAAATCATAGGAGCTCTCAACTTTAAGTTCTGAAAGCCAGGTCAGCAGGTCAACAGAAATAAAAATAAATCACAAATCTGTCTATCCATTTTTGCTCAACAGAAGAAATCTAACTTGATTCAAGGTCAGGCTTAACTCTGACTTTGCCAGTTTCTGAAGTCAATGTTGAAAGGCCTGATGATGGAGCTGAATTACATGTTTATATTCAGATATCTCATTAAACTCAACTTTATTACTGCTTTCATATAGCAAACACCCACAACAATCTTTCCAAATTTGGCCATAAAGATATTTCTAGTTTTGAGATCATTTACTTTTATTGCCTCCATTCTTCAGATAAAATGAAAATGTCAGGAGGCCGCAGGAGAACCACAGGGATGATAAATCATGAAAACCTTCAAACACTCAGAACTTACGCTGCCCTCAGACAGTGAAAAGGATATCTGCCGCCCAGGCTTGTCTGCCGGCCTTCGATGCAGTGGGTGGAAGCGGCTCCTTGCTGGCCTCTCCACTAGTCCATGATGCCGGGTTCCACGGACCGTGTCAGCCTGGTGAAATGATGGCTGCAGAAGAAGGAAAGAAGAATTGGTCCCTGACCATGAAACTACCACTTACTCTCAAGAACAACCACTTGTAAGAGCAGATGAAAACACTCAACTTATAATTCTACTATGGTGTACTAATATGCTGTGGGTTAAGGGAAATAATAAGTAGCATGTGGCACAGTTTCTACAAAATTACAGAATAATTTAAAAATAGTCTTTAGGGTGTTAAGATGAAAGAATCATTCATAAAAGTTGTCAGAGAGCTAAATGTTGTAGCATAGTTGAGTTCAATAGGGGAAGCTTAAAATCTTAGCACTTTGGTAGGCTGAGCCAGGAGGATGCAAGTTCAAGCCTCCCTGGGAAATTTAGCAACCTAGCGAGACTCTGCCTCAAAATAAAAATTTAAAAAGGGCTAGGATGTAACTCAAACCAAAGGCCCAGGGTTCATTCCCTAGTATTGAGTAAAAAAAAGAAGAGACGTTATCACCATTAGGACGGAGACTTGGAGAACTATGGATCATATACCAAATCCCCAAAAATAGGAAGAATACTTGAAATATAAAAAAGGTATTTTTAAAATAGAAATAAACTAGCAATCTATTCATTGTACACCATCTTTTAAGTTTTTTTTTTTCTCATTGAGTTTATTGGTACATTTTAGGTACACAGTGCAGTTACATTCATCATTGGGATCTTGTACCTTTACATGACAGGTCTTGGTTCTCATTTTTTTTCCCTTTATCCCTGCCCTCCCTTCACCCCCTCCTCCCTTCACTATTTACATGGGCTGGGGATTAAGCTCAGTGGTTCTGGTGACTGCCTCGCAAGCACAAGGACCTGAATTCGATCTCAATCCCAGGTACCAAAAAAAAACCCAGCTTCCCTATTTACAAATATTTTATTTCCATTTTTTTCTTTTCCCTTATTACCTTTCCCCTACCCTTCCCACTTCCCCTATACCTTTAGCCCTTTTCTTCCTATTTCACATGGTCAATTATATTGTCAGGATCTTATGTACCATTATAGTTTTTCACACCAGAGAAACTATTTGGTTATTTATACATGTGTGACTTATTTATTTCACTTAGGAGTACATCCACAATATGTATCCATTTTCCTATGAATGACTCTAATTTCTCATTCTTTATGGATGAGTAGTATTCCATTTTATAGAAAAACCACATCTTCTTCATCCAGTATCCAACTGATGGGCAAATGGGCTGTTTCCAAATTTTAGCTGTTACAAATTGTGCCGCTATAAACATAAGTGAACATATATCACTGTGATATGATTCTTTTAATTCTTCTGGAAAGATACCCAGCAGAGGGATGACTAGGTCAAATGGAACCTCTAATCCCAACTCTTTGAGGTATCTCCATATTGATTTCCATAGTGGTTGCACCAGTCTGCACTCCCACCAACAATGGAGTAGGGTTCCTTTCTCCCCACAACCCCGCCAACATTTCTTATTGGTTGATTTCTTGATAGCAGCCATTCTTTGTGGGGTGAGGTGGAATCTCACTGCTGTTTTCATCTGCATCTCTCAAATGATCAGTGATGTTGAACATTTTTTCATATATTTACTTGATACTTTTACTTCTTTGTCTGAGGAATGGCTATTCACATCAGATGCCCGTTTTTGAATCAGGTCTTTATATTTGCGGGGGCTGATTTTTTGAGTTCTTTATGTATATTCTAGATAATAGTCCTTTGTCTGAGGAGCAGCTGGTAAAAAATTTTTCCCACATTGTAGGTTGTCTTTTAGTTCTGTTGATGATTTCTTTTTCAGTGCTGAAGCTTTTTAATAAGATGAGATCCCAGTTGTTGATTCTTTCTGCTAGTTCCCGTGCTACTGAAAATTTGTTCATAAAGTCTCTCCAAGAGTTCTGCCTAACTTATCTTCTAGCAAATTTAGTGACTCTTTTTTAATATTTAGATCTTTAATCCACTTGGATTTTAGTTTAGTGTATGGTAAAAGATAAGGGTCTAGTTTTAATCCTTGGCAGGTTGAAATCCAGTTTTTCAACACCATTATTAAAGAGGCTACCTTTCCTCCAGTGAGGATGGTTGGCTCCTTTGTCAAAGAAAAGGTAGCTGAGTACATCTGGAGTTGTTTTTGTATCTTCCAATCTATTCTACTGATCCTCAGGTCTGTTTCTTTGCCAGTACCATGCTGTTTTCGTCACAGTGGCTTTGTAGTATAGTTTCAAATTGGGAATTGTTATACCCGCTGCCATGTCTCTGTAGCCTAGGATGGCTTTTGCTATTCTAGGTCTCTTCTGGTTACAAATGAATTTTTGGATTATTTTTTCTAGTTCTGTGAAATATACTGTTGGAATTTCAATCGGTGTTGCATTGAATCTGTATAGCAGTTTTGGTTGTATGGCCATTTTCACTATGTTGATTCTTCCTACCCAGGAGCAGGGGATATCTTTCCATTTTCTTATATCCTCTTCGACCTCTTTTTTCAGAGTGTTGTTGTTTTCAGTGTAGAGGTCTTTTGCTCCTTTCATTCGATTGATTCCTAGATACTTCATTTTTTTGGATGCTATTGTGAAAGGAATTGTTTCCCTAATTTCTCTCTCAGTGAGTCTGTTATTTGTGTACAAGAAGGCTATTGATTTTTTAGTGTTTCTCTTGTATTCAGCTACTCTGCTAAAAGTGTCAATTAAGTCTAGAAGTCTTTTGGTGGAATTTTTTGGGTCTTCAATGTAGAGTAACATATAGTGTGTCATTTAAGTGTTGACTGGATTAAAAATGTTAAAATTGAGATGTGAGGCTCCTAAGGAAAAGCCAGAACAGCCTGGCCACACTGGTCCACATTTCTACAAGGCAATAGGTGCTCCTGGAAATGGGACATTCTCCTGTCTTGGTATTTTGCTTTGTTTTGTTTTGTTTTTCGGTACTGGGGATTGAACCCCAGGCCTCATATGTGCTAGGCGAGCACTCTATCATTGAGTTACACCCCCAGGCCTTTTTAAATTTTTATTATGAGATAGGGTCTCACTAAATTGCCAAGGCTGGACTCAAACTTGCAATCCTCTTGACTTAGCCTCTCGAGCAGCTGGGATACAGACATGTGCCACTATGCCCAGGTTCACTCTCTTGTTTTTAATACTTTACACCCAGATCACTTCACTTCTGAGTTTGCAACCCTTGAGTTAAGCAGGAGAAAAGAGACAATACCCAAATGCAAATGGGAAACATGCAACTCATTGTTTCCCAAAGGTACAAATGGAAATATAAACACATTTGAGATAAAAGTGCATGGTCAAACAAATCCAAAATCCTTTGTTCAACAGGGCTTACTGTACATTCTTGACATTTTTTTCCATTGAGTTTATTGGTACTTTTTAGGTATACAGTAAGAGTTGCATTCATCATTGGGATCTTGTACCTTTACATAATAGATCTTGGTTCTCATATTTTTCCCCATTCCCCTGCTCACCCTTCACCCCCTCCACTCTTCCCTATCTACAAAGATTTTGTTTCCAATTTTTCCTTTTCTCATATTTTTTCCTTTTCCCTCATTTCCTTTCCCCTACCCTTCCCACTTCCCCTATACAAGCCCTTTTCTTCCCATGTCACATTATCAGTTATACACAATTTGAATCTTATTAACTTTTAGTTTTTCACACCAGAGAAATTATTCTGCATTTGTACATGTGTGTCCTACTTATTTCACTTAAGAGTATGGCCTCAATTTGCATTCATTTTCCTATAAATAACTCTAGTTTCTCAATCTTTATGGCTAAGTAGTACTCCACATTCCTGCCATTTTTGAGACTGCATCATTAAGGGCTGCCTTTATGGTTGTCAGAGATGAATTCTAGGTTGGACCATTAAATATCATATAACTGGACAATGTGTATACAATATTATGCAATAGACGCATTTGTTAAATATATGAAAACAGGTAGTTATCTACCACCTCCATTTCATTAAGGTATAACTTGAAAATAAAAATTGTACGTATTCACAGTGTACAATGTGATGTTTTAAGATATATAGTATATATTTATATTGATATGAACAGGTCCAGTAAATTAACATCCTGTCAGCACACAAACATTTTAAAACAAAATTTAAGTAAATTGAGTCATATATAAAATAGCTAACTATGACTGAGTATATTTTTATACTTTATCTATAAACTGATCACTAATGTTTCTTTGTTAAATGTATACAGATTTTCCCATATTGGATTTGGGAATTACTCTTATTTCACTAAGCTAATTTAGTTTAGCAGTTCCAATCTGTTTTTATAATCCGAATCTATAAACTTATAAAAATAAAGAGATCTTAGGAAAAACTTCTGGGATAAAAGAAAAAGATCAGTATGACAGGTAAACTGGATTTGGTCTCAGGTGATAAGAGTACAGTATTCTACAGAGTGAAAAATTGAAATACCTGAAAAATAATGGGACAAACTGAGGACAGGGGCTTCCAGGAATGAGGCAATGAGAAGCTTGCAGCACTGTTCACACAGTAGGAACTCTGTTAGCATTAGACAAGCCCCCATTGAGTGACAGCTACAAAACAAATGGACTGTCCTCTCCCCAATATCAGCCATAAAAGACCAAAAGCAAAAACAATCCTGAGGGGCCAGGGATTTAGCTCAGTGGCACTGTACCTATCTGGCAAGCACAAGGTTGTGAGTTTGATACCCAGTACAAGAAAATCCCAAGGAAATAGTCTAGACTGAAGGAGATAAGGAAGATACGGTATGCTACTGATGATATTGGCATAGTCAGTAAATCTCAAATATAATCTATATCAATGATGGCGAGCCTTCGGAGTTTTCAATGATACAAACAGCCCACTGTGGCAGCGTGTGGCAGTTCGCCACCGTTCGACACAATGATAATGTATCAATTTAAATTTCTTTAGTCTGATCATTATAATGTGGCTATGATTATAAAATAGAGTTCCTTGTTCACAAGAGGCACAGAAAATAAGGAAGCATACCATACACACACACAAATTATAAGAAGGAAACAAAAAATGTGGCAAAATG